AGGCAGGGCAAGGAATGGCCGAGCCAGGCTCCTTCTCTCCCGCATTGCCTGAGCCCTCCCTTGTGCCAGGCTCTGCCCTCGGCGCTGTCTGTCAAGTGGTTGGGACTGGGAAGCTGGCCTCCAGGTTCTCGTCCCATCCTGGCCTTCTCTCCATCGCCGTGTGCCCTCCCAGTTCCCTGCCCTCTCTGGACTTTGGTCCCACCTTCTGGACAGTTATGGAGGAATGGGACATCGTCCACAAGCTTTGCTCCTCAAATTCCCATCCTTCCCTCTAACATTTCATGATCAGGGTCCCCAGATTCAATTCGGTGGCCAGAAGAAGTGAGGTGGAGGGTTCTGTGGGATTTGGGGATTGTTGATGGAATTTGGGGATCATCCCAGGGCGGGAGTGAGATCAGGGGACCCTCAGCAGCCCGCTCCAGTTGCGGGGCAGGCCTGGGCTCAGCTCTGGTGTGAACCAGCTCCGTGAGTCCTCCACTGCTGCCGACAGGGACGTGCATGAGGCAGGGTTAATAGGACGCCAGAGGACGGTGAAGCCTGGAGAGTGAAAGGACGTGACCAAGGCCACCAGGCCGGGGAAAGGCAGATGTGGAGTTCCAGTCCAGGGCATCTGCCTGCACGGGCTCTGAACCACTCAGCCAGTGAGCCTTAAACTTGACAGGGAGCAAGACAGCCATGTGCGGAGGGGGTTTGAATCCGGATTCTGCCTCCCTGCATGTCTGAAGGTTGTGCGTTTGCACAAGCTGCCTCAAGAATTTGATGTGCCTCACTCTGTGCACCTGGGCCCTGAGAGCAATGGGACACCTCCCTCCCTGGCACCCCCATGCCCACCCTGCGGAGGAGAGACTCTTCCCCCAGACATGGCCCTGCCTGCTAATCTCTGCTGTCCATAAGCTGCTTGTCCTTTGAAGAAGCCCCAGGGAGGCAGTGATGTGGGGCAGGCTGGTCCAGGCCGAGGACCACCCATCGCCCTGCCTAGGTGGGCCCTGGGCTCTGCATACCCCCTCCCTATTTGGCACCTCAGAGACCTCCACGCTCAGGGGTGGGCCCTTCTGCTCAAGGGGGATGCCTCTTGGGGAAGAACTCTAGGCAAGGTCCATGTCTCTGCATGGGGGACTCTCCGTGGGGAGTCCCATCCTTTCCAGCCCCTCCTGCAGTTTCCATGGCAACAGCAGTTGCCATGGTATTGCTGGGCAAGAAGCTGATGGGGAAGAAGGTGGACCCCAGGCCCCCACGCCCACTGAAGCCTCTATGAGAACAGCTGTCCTCTCTCCATGGTCCTGGGGGTCCCCCAAAACCGAGGGGTTGTCTCCCAAGGAGTCACTGAGTAACACCTAGGAGAGATAAAGGAGGAGGTCCCCCCAGGAGGCCCCGCCCTGTGTGCCAGCCACTCTGCAGTGCGGGCCACACAGACTTGCATGTTCTGTTTACTTGCCTGTCTCCTCCGCCACACTGCGAGCCCCTGGGGTGGGGAGCTGTCTGACTCATCATCTCCCGTCCCCAGGGCCCAGCACAGGGCCTGGCACAGACCAGATTGAATTGAATTACATAAAAAGTCGAGTCTGGCTCCTCGGGTTTAGGGGGTGACACAGTTGGATGGGGAGGTTTCCAGGCTCTGGGGGCCAGCCTGCACTTGGTTTGAATCTCAGCTCTGGGGCTAGGGAGGCAGCTTAGTGGTGGAGCACTTGCCTGGCACGTGCAAGGACCTGGGATTGAATCTCATCACCCCAAGGAAACAAAACCAACAAAAGCAACTTCTATGATAATCCCAGCTCTGGGGGCTGGGGTTATAGCTCAGCTGAGACTGCTTGCCTAGCATGCATTAGGCCTTGGGTTCAATCCCCAGCAGCAGCACCACCAATAAATAAATAGATGCAAGGAGAAGAATAATCCTAGCTCTGCTGTGTGACCTTGAGTGAGTCACTTCCCCTCTCTGAGCTTCAATTGCTTCATCTGTAAAAATATAATTTCCATATCAGAGCATGTTTGAGGAGTTGGGATTCACTCAGAATTTATTGAGCACCTCTGGAATACTGGGATTCTGAGCCCTGGGATCTGTGGCAGAGAGAAAGTGCTGGCCCTGCCCTCCCGCAGCTCATAGTCTGGCAACAATGAAATTTGCTTGGCACCTGAAAATGCAGAAGCTACCTGCCATCTCCTTTCCATTGGCTCCTCCTCACCAGCTCTGCTCTCCCCAGAGGTGGCTCAGGCGAGGGCTCCAACAGGAGGCTTTGAACCTGGGAGCCCTGGGCCTCTCTGTTGCCCCAGGCCTTGAATCTGAGCCAGGCCCTGGGCAGGCGGTGGGAGACCTGGCTTCTGCCTCTGGCTCTGTGAGTCCTGTGTGTTCCCCTCCCGGTCTCCATGTGCTGCTCCATGAGGAGGCAGCTGGCCACAGTCCCTCAGGCTCTGGCCTGCTTCCCCCTTTCCTGGGTCCTGGGGATCCCATGACAGCCTGATTCCTGGAGAGGCCTCTGCCCTCGTGTCTGCCTGGGGTGGGGTAGGGCGAGGTGGGTGGGGTGAGGGAACAAGAAGAGCTGACAGGACAGAGTACTTGCACCCTCAAGACTCAGCCCAAAGGACAGCTGGGGTTGACATCAGCATGAGCCATGTCTGAAATACAGCCTGGACTGTTGGGTCTGGAGACCAATGACTTGTGACCCCTCAGTCCAGATCCATAGGGACTGGATCCATGGGGCGCTGAGAACAGAGAGCTCTCACTGCATGGTAGAACAGATCCAAGTCCAAGGTCTGCTCTGCTAGATACCGGTTGTGTAATCTGAACATCGCTGAGCCTCAGTTTCCTCATCCATAAAATGGGGATAGTAGCAGCAACTACCTCCTGAGGCTACTGTATGGAGTCTAGAGATATCGCCCACAAAGCAGCTGGCACACAATGGGCACTTTTAAAGCCCAAATTCTTTTCCTTGCCTCCTCCCCCCTGCATCTGCCTGTCCTCAACCCCAGCCAGATGGGACCTGAGAAAAGGGAAGTGAGATGTTGCCCTTCCCCACAGAGAAAGGAAGGGGATGAAGTGCAGGGCCGTTTCTCGGGATCCACTCTGTGGCCACTGGACACTGAGGGTGTAGGCCAGCCATACCTCAGTTTCCCCCAGGCTGAGTGGCTGAGGCTGGGTTGGGGCAGGAACTTCCTGTTGGTCCTGAACCAACACAGGGCATATCTAAGAGGCATCTGGGGAATTGCTGGTGTAGTCTCCTGGCAGCTTAGGTGCATAAATTATGTGGGGACTTGGAAGAAGGTGTTTTCCACTTTTCTGGGTGGCATCACCCCTTCAGGGCCTGAAGCCCTTGTACTAAGGTGCGGTGGGGTCAACACTTCAAGGGGATTTTGGGTCTCCCAGCTGCAGAACTGGTACTCCTGATCTTGACCTTCCTCTGATCCTTGCAGGGACTTCTTGCCCCGAGGATCTGGCATTGTCACGCGACGTCCCCTGGTCCTGCAGCTGGTCAATGCTAACACAGGTACATGCTCTCCATCAGCCCCAAGGTGAGGGGCTACCTTTCTACTGAACTTGAAAGTTACCAAGGAAGGGCTTCGTTCCCTCCTCGGGTTCCATTCCTTACCTGAACAAGGGAGATGAAAGTGTTTGGAGTCTGTTTCTGGTGGGAGATGGGACGCAGGTGGGTTCCCGACTGTGATGCTCGCCCCCTTCCTCTACCCGCTTCTGGAGCAGAATACGCGGAGTTCCTGCACTGCAAGGGGAAGAAGTTCACTGACTTCGAGGAGGTGCGCCTGGAAATCGAGGCCGAGACCGACCGGGTCACCGGTACCAACAAGGGCATCTCTCCGGTGCCGATAAACCTGCGGGTCTACTCGCCGCACGGTGAGACCTGGCCCCGCCCTCCTGCTTCTTTGCCTAGCCACGCCCCCAGGCCGCTTTCTGGGCTCCGCCCCTTTCTGGCGCAGACTCCGCCCGCGCAGCCGCCCCCTCCACGCCCTGCTAGCCCGAGCTCCACCCCGCCGTGGCTCCGCCCATCCTTAGCCCCTACCCTGGTCCTCCTTAGACCCCGCTCCCACGCGGATCCCGTGGGTCCGACCCTGTTCTGTAACTCTGCGCGCCCACGGTCATGCCCCTTGCTTTGAGCCATCCCTCTTGTCGCCCCGTCCAGTACTGAACCTGACGCTGGTGGACCTGCCCGGAATGACCAAGGTGCCCGTGGGAGACCAGCCTGCGGACATCGAGTTCCAGATCCGAGACATGCTTATGCAGTTCGTCACCAAGGAGAACTGCCTCATCTTGGCGGTGTCCCCTGCCAACTCCGACCTGGCCAACTCTGATGCCCTCAAGGTGGCCAAGGAGGTGGACCCCCAGGGTAGGTTCCCACTTGGCAGTCCGTGTGCCAGGCCCGGGGGGTGGTTGCTTCTTGAGTTTAGGGGGAGCCCCTGCAGGGTCTAGGTGGAATAGCGGTGGGAGCAGATTCATGCGTTTAAACGTCACTGTGTAAAATATAGGAGGGGTCCCAGGAGTGGGTGAGGGGATGGGCAGGGAGACGGGGAGCAGGGTGGGTGGGCTTGGGGATTTCCTCCTGAGGGCGGGTCTACATGAGGACTGCCCTCCTGCTGCCCACCCCCAGGTCAGCGCACCATTGGGGTCATCACCAAGCTGGACCTGATGGATGAGGGCACAGATGCCAGGGATGTGCTGGAGAACAAGCTGCTCCCCCTGCGCAGAGGTAGGCGACGACTCCCCTACCCCCTGCCTGCTCCTCTGGACACTCCTGAGAAGGCCGCTTCCCTGACCTTGACTGCCCACAGGCTACATTGGGGTGGTGAACAGGAGCCAGAAGGACATAGATGGCAAGAAAGACATCACGGCTGCCTTGGCCGCTGAGCGCAAGTTCTTCCTCTCCCACCCATCCTATCGCCACCTGGCTGACCGCATGGGGACACCCTACCTGCAGAAGGTCCTCAACCAGGTAGGGGCACAGGCTAGGACAGGGCCTGGGGATACCAGCATGACCAAAGAGTAATTTAAATGTATCTTGAGGGAGACTGAGAGGTTCGCACCCATCATGCAGACGAACAAACACCCAGAAAAGCAAAGGAGGCTGCCCACATCCCATGGCCACAGAGCTTTGCAGCTGACCCTGTGTGGGACCTGCCTGGGGAACCCCAGAACCCCTGGGACACAGAAAAGGCCAAAATCTCATGTGGAGGGGCAGCAACCAGGGCTTGGTTCGGGGGCCATGATTGGTGTGTACGCAGCTGAAGACCTGGTTCCTTTCCAGATGGGGAGAGATGGATCCTAGACTGGGGTCAGCACCCCCCGGGGTTTCCCTGGGTGCTTCTCCATCTGGAATGGGCCTCTAGAACTCAGGGCTGTGGGTGTTGACAGGAGAGGGGCAGTGGGGAGTGCCACAGACCTGGGTTCCAGCCTGCACTGAGACACTCTCCAGCTCTCCGCGCCTGTATTCCTGTATCTATGAAATGGGGAAATGTCCCCAGAGTCTGTCTCATAGGGTCGTTATGAAGATACAGGGAGATACAGTGTGGGGGGACCTAGTGAGAGTGGGCGCCTCAACATGAGAATTACCTGAAGGGCTGAACCCTAGAGGGAATGAGGGGGCAGCCCTCAGCCTCCCCTGCGTTAGAGGCATTTGGTTTGCCTTTAGGATATCTGAAAACGTTAAGCTGGTCGAAAATCAAGTAATGTCAAATACAAATCCGGGATTCTGGTTTTGTTTGAAAATGGAGCTATGTGCTCATCAATTCAAATAATACACCTCTGTGAACTCATGCCAGGGGGAAGCCTGCCTGCAAGAAGATTTTGTTCTGGAGCAGGGCAGCCCTCCGTGGCCCCATGCCCATCCCTCCAGTGTCCACCTCACCACAAACGCAGGGCCCCCTGGTAGCCCGCTCTCTGCCTGGCTCCCTGGGAAGCTGGGTTGGTTCTGTGGCCTTAACCTTTTCCTCCCCTTCACACCCAGCAACTGACGAACCACATCCGGGACACACTGCCTGGGCTGCGGAACAAGCTGCAGAGCCAGCTGCTGTCCATCGAGAAGGAGGTGGAGGAGTACAAGAACTTCCGCCCTGATGACCCTTCACGGAAGACCAAGGCCCTGCTCCAGTGAGCCTCTCCCGGCCCTGAAGTCCCACTGCTGAGCTGTCCCCGCCCCAGCCTCTCAGCACCCTCTTCAGCACGGGACTCCCCAGGGCTCTCTCCACGGGGCCATACCTCTCTCCACAGGATGGTCCAGCAGTTTGCAGTGGACTTTGAGAAGCGTATTGAGGGCTCTGGAGACCAGATCGACACCTATGAGCTGTCTGGGGGAGCCCGCATCAACCGGATCTTCCATGAACGCTTCCCCTTTGAGCTAGTCAAGGTAGGACAGGGAGCCCCAGGGATGGAGGACTCAGGAAGTCTCCACTCCCACCCAGGACATTCTGATGTGGTCCTTTGCTTAACTCTCCAAAGGCCCTGCTGCTCGGCCCTGGGGGTGGGTGGGCCCTGCCTGGGCCTCCCACGCAACAGGGACAGGCCCTGACCATCTTTCTCTCTGTTGTCCTCATAGATGGAGTTTGATGAGAAAGAACTTCGAAGGGAGATCAGCTATGCCATCAAGAATATCCATGGCATTAGGCACGTACTGGGACCAGGGAGGGGGGCTGAACCCCAGAGGGCAGGGGGGGTTAGCTCTGATGCAGAGAGCAGGGAAGTGGCCCCGCTCAGGAAGGACCTGAGAGTCCTGCTCCCTAGTCCCCTCAATCCCAACTTTCCAGCTCCCAGCTCAACAGGCTCCAGCCAGGGGAGGCAGATGGGGGGGCTGGACCACGGCACTCCTTGCAACCCGATGGCCTCCTCTGCTGTCCCTGGAGCAGGGCCTGGGAGCAGGGCCCAGAGCCCAGAGTACAGATGGCCTGCAAAGTACCCTCTAGGGCTGGGCCCCTGCCCTTCCCCAGGGTGAGGCATCTCCGCCCAGTCCTAGCCAGGTTACTGAGCAAAGGTGCCCACACCACTGGGCAGGGCCTGGGGCACAGCATCAGCCCACCACACCCTCCCCGCCCCCGTCAGCCCAGTGTTGACCGTTCGCCCACCTCCCGAGGCCATCCAGCCTGTGGAGCAGGAAGGCTTGGGAGGCAGACTCTCTCCTTGACAGCTCAGACCCCTGCAGAGACCCAGATCTGCACTGTGCCCACTCAGCCACTCCAGGCTGCAGAACCATGTAAAGCACTTCCTAGTGCCAGGCGCAGACAGACTGACATGTCCCTGGGTTTGTGCAGACTCATGTCGGTTTTCTTAGAATGACCCAAGACTGTAGACAGAAATGGAACTAGAAAAGAACATCCGAGGTTGGACTTGGAGTTTACCTGCTGATGAGCACCTTGGCCGAGGTGCTCACTCCTGGGCGGCTCTTCGGGAGAACCCAGTTTGGCCATTGCCAAGCCATTTCTGGCCACAGAGCTTTTTGGAGGACCACTTAAGAGGCAGCAGGACATGTAAATGCACACAAGCAGCCCTTGTCTTGCCCCCAAAGACCTTGTAGGGAAAGCCCCTCATTAGAATCCCGTCACCCATCAGACAGGTGGGGACACCGAAGCCCAGAGAGAGTAATGGGACCCCCGCCCCCGCCCAGCTCAGAGGTTTGGGAGGGGCCCTGGCCTGTCCCTCCTGGCAGGTGCTGGCCTGTGACACTGTGCCCTTCTCCCGCTCCGGGCGTTCAGAACGGGGCTGTTTACCCCAGACATGGCCTTTGAGACCATTGTGAAAAAGCAGGTGAAGAAGATCCGAGAACCGTGTCTCAAGTGTGTGGACATGGTTATCTCGGAGCTAATCAGCACCGTTAGACAGTGCACCAAGAAGGTAACCCGGGCCAGCCTGCCTCTGTCCCTACCCTGCACTGCTGCCGGGCACTCCCTCCCCAGTCCCCACTGCCTCCTCGGTAGCATGTACAGGCCTCAGCGGGGTGGGGGAGGCAGGCAGCCACGGGCCAGCAGAGGGAACCCCGAGCCCCAGCCCTGGGGACCGAGGGATTGGAAGCTGGGGAGACTGGTAGGGTGGCTGGTCGTTTACCCCGAGAGCCCACCACGAGGTCCCCCCAGCTCAGAGAGGATAGGGCTTGAGGGTACCTGAGCCCCCTTCCCGCCCACAGAGGCGGAGTCACCTTGGGATGCTCTAGGGAGGGGTCTTGGGGAAAACTGAGGGTGTAGATGAGGCCCAGGCCTTCTCCGGCACTGGGAGCCAGACGGGTGCAGGGGCCCAGGACCAGCGGGTATCATGATCCCCTGCAGTCCCTCATCTTCCCACCCGCACCCCACCCTCGCTCAGGCCCCCCACTCAGGCCTCCCCTCCCCTCCATTCACATCCAGCCTTCCAGGGACGAGCCATCTCCCCCTGCCATGTCATCCAGCCTCACAGCACCACAGGAGAAGGGCAGGGCAGGGACGGTGACCCCCATTTCACAGCAGGAACACTGAGGCCCAGGGGACCAAGTGACTCACCCAAGCTCATGTCAGCTAAGAGGTGGCAGCAGTGTTGCTAGGCCAGGGCTTTGGGCTCCAAGTCCAGGGCTCACTGATCCCACCCGAGCCTCCCTCCCTGCCTCCCCCACTGCCGCCCTGGCCCGCTATTGCCACCTCACTTCCTGTCTTTCCTCTTCTCTCTCTTTCTGTCTTTTGGAACTGATTTCCCCAGGCCCCTTTGGAGGAGAGGCAGGGGACTCCCCTTGGGGAGAGTGGCAGGAGTAGAGCAGGGAACTGGACAGCAGAGGTCAGGCTGCTACACTGCCCTCTGGGAGGCCTCATCTGCATCACAATTTATGCAAGTGGAGGCCCTTAGATTTGTGCAGTGCACAGCCTGGGCAGCAGCCCTGGTAGAGGTGGAGAAATCAGGATGAAGCCAGTGCAGGTGGCACTGGGAATCCTAGCACTGAGCAGGATGGGTGGGTGGGGTCCTAACCTGTCTTGGCCTGGGTCGGCTCCTTAGAAGGACCCAAGGCTATAGACAGAAATGGAACGTGAAAAGAAGGAGCAGGTAACCTAGAGCAGCTGAGGAGAGTGAGGGGGCAGTCAGTCTGGGGGTGAGGTTCTGAACTAGTAGGGATCTGGTATGGGCTAGGGGCTTGGCCCCTGAGACCTCTGGCCATCCCCACAGAGCCCTGGGGGATCTTGGCAGCGCCCGGGAGGCCTGATCCCGGGTGGGGAGGGAGGGCTGGGTCCCACGCTCACGTTGTCTTCTGTTCTCTTTCTCTGTGTCGGTGTCTCTCTCTCTTCCCCCATGCCTGTGCCATCCTGCCCCACCCCCGGAGCCCGGCTGCTTGGCTCTCACCCCCTCCTCTCCCTGACCCCTCCTCCCCGGGTGCAGGACGGGCCTCTTCACTCCTGACCTCGCTTTTGAAGCCACAGTGAAAAAGCAGGTGCAGAAGCTCAAAGAGCCCAGTATCAAGTGTGTGGATATGGTAGTCAGTGAGCTCACCACCACCATCAGAAAGTGTAGTGAAAAGGTATGGCGGCCGCCTGGGAGGGGCTGGGCCTGGCCGTCCCTTCTTTGTGGCTACGGCCTCCCATGGGCGGAACCATCTGCCAAACAGACTGGCAGCCTCTTGGCTCCCCGCAGAGACCCAGACACCCATGCAGGCCAGGAGATCCCTGGCTGGTGTCTCTTGCCAGCCGATAACCCTGGGTCTCCCTGGGCTTATGGTCCCCCCAGGCCCCTGTCCCTGCCAGAGGACTTTGCTGCAGCTCAAGTGTCCTCAGTGACCCCTTTCTGCCCACTAGGATGAGAAGGATGATACGAGATGGAGGCTGTTTACTGAGCAGCTACTGTGTGAGCGCACAGGGCTAAGGGCTTGCCCTTAGGGTGTGACTTAATCCTCTCGACAACCCTAAGAAGTGGGTAGTGTCATCCCCATCTTACCAATGACCCAACAGTTTCAGAAAGGAAAAGCAGAGGGGATTCCGATTTAGGAAGGGATCTGGGATCAGAGCCTCCTGGGGTGGGGAGCCATCCCAGTCCCTCAAAACCAATTTGCCTAAAAGCAGATGGTAATCCGTGCGTGTTTGGCAGGGCCGGCCTCCTCTGAGCTGTCTGTGATCCTTCAGATGCCTTTTTCCTATCTGTCTACTCTTGAGCATTTTGAAGATTTTTAGCCAGGTCATCCAAAGCGAATCTTCCAGGGGTTTACAAGAGAGTTCGCTGCCTGCGGGAGCTTGCCCAGGACTCCAGGGCTGCCGCACCCCATAAGTAGCCTGAACCAGTCTCGGGGCTAAAGCCCAGTCTCTCCTGGGCCTGAGAAATCTCCCGAGCTGCAGGGTGGGTGCACAGCTGCCTTAACTTTGAGTTTTCAGTAATAATCTCCCTGGCTCCTCTGTCCTCGGGCACCGGGTTGTGGAATGTTGCATGTCGTGGCCACTGCTGCCTCCTGGATGATCTGTGTCCTCAGTATCCTACTGAGGGACAGTTAGGGTGCTTTAACTCCTTCCTGTTTTCTTTTTCTTCTTTTGACCTGGTTAATAGATGATGAGCAGTTATCAATTTGATAACTTCTGCAATATTACCTTCCCCAAAACTTTACTATCTCTCCAAATCTTTTTTCTACATCTTGGTTTATTGTATTTGGTGACACACTGGGAATATATGAGCATTCTGCTTTTTCTCTTAATAACATACATTTTCAGGGCGACTAGTACATAGTCCATAGAAATATTGAGAATAGAAACACGAGCTTCTATTGAATAAGTTTCTTGTGGTTTTTCTGTTATGGAACATTTAGGTAGTCCCCAGTTTTTTGATATTATACATCAATAACCTGTCAGTGAACATCTTTGTACATGAAGATGTATTATATTCTTTGTTGAGGGCTATCCTTCATCTAGATTCCTAGAAGGCTGATTTCTAGAGATAAAAATTTAAAAACTTTGCTGACTTGCATTCCAAAAGGAAAGCAGTAATTATTGTAAATGGTAAAATTTTGGAAACGACCCAGATGCCCATCAAGAGGATCAATGCTATGTACACTATTACACAGACAGTGGAATGCTACAGCTATTGTTAAAAGGGCAAGACATATTTGTTTGTAGTCACATGTCCCTCCAGAATGTCCTGTGAGGGAAAACATGCTTGTTTCAGAGAAGAATGTATATAGTATTTTGGGAAAATTAATGTACATTGAGTGATAAAATCCCCAAGTTGCATTCACCAAATTGCCAAACATTATTTTGTGAGCAGGCAAAGGAACATAGTAATCTTTCTATTTCTATTTCACAAATTTTAGTTGTGTTCAAATCTTTCATATGTTTGTTTTTTTGCGAGTGGAAAAACTGGCCAACAAAAACTTTAGAATGGAAAACTGGTCTAAACGGAGGAAGATAATTCTTTTGCCTTTTGATTTGTTTAATGGACAGTAATTATTTTTTCTTTGGCAAGACTCACCCTCTTTGTCTTTTCTTTTTTTCTTCCTAAGTTTTTGAGCTGAGCAAATCACTCCTGCTAAAGGTTTGATAAATGTTTGATTCTAATTACTGCCAGCCCTGCTAGAATCAGACTTCTCATCTCTGGGTGAAATTCAGACTTTGATGCAGGAGGTAGCGGGTGCTACTCCATCTTCTCAGCAACCCCAAGAGGCAAGGCACCTTTACTATCCGTGTGACCCACAGAGAAACCGAGACTCAGGGTGGTCCCGTGGCTTTTCTGAGCAGACCTGGCACAGGCAGGGACTGGCTTTGAACCCAGGGCCTTGTGCTCTGGGAGCTGCAGCCCTGACCGCTAAGCCAGTGGGCTCCAGGCTGCCGGCCCTGCTCAGCCAAGAGCTGAGAGAGAAAAGTTCCATTTCAAAAACTGGCTGGAAGTCTGGAAATGCTCAGAGGCAGCCAGGATGGAAAAAGATGCTCAAGGAACAGAACCCTCCAAGGGGCTGAGGCTGCCCCGCCACATGTGACACGTGGAAAACTTGAGAAATGCAACATCCAGGCAGTCGGTGGGAGGACTGGTCATGCTCTTTGGCAATACTCCCTCCTCCCTCCTTTTCCTGCCCCCCTCCCACCCTGCTCTGGGAGGGGGAGCCTTGGGGGCCACCTCAGAGGCCCAGTAGTGATGACTCAGTCCACAATCTACGCAGACTAGGAGACTCTGAGGAGTGGAGGTCCCTCCCTGAGCCTCGAGGGGCAGCAGGGTCCACTGGGTCCCGCCAGCAGTATGTCTAGCCCCTGCTCACAGGCTGCCCCTCCCCAGGTCCCTTGCGCTGGGCCATCCCAGCCACACCCTTGGCACAGCCACAGAACCGTGGGACCTAGGCATCTCACGGCGGCCTCTCCTGGGCTGGCCTGCGGGGTACTGCTTCTCTCCGCATCCTCCTGCCTCTCCTGACTGGCCTCCTCCCAGCTCCTTGGCCTCCGTCTTGCCCTCAGAATCACCTGTGACCCAGGCCTACCAAACCCCAGCTCTGTTCCCACACAGGGGGGTCCGTCGAGGGGTTGGACCCCAGCATGGGAAGAGGGACAGGGGGCTGTCTTAGCTTGGCCCAGCTGGGTCTCACGTAGGGAGGGCAGACAGCAGGACTGGAGGTCCCCCTGGGTGGGCCCCACCATCCGAAGTTCATTGAGCCTCCCTCCCTGAGGAAGAGCTGTTCACAAGCCAGAGGGTCAAGGACTCTGGGCCCACTCAGCCCGACAAGAAGGACAAAGACGTCATCCTTCATTCATTCCCCCATCCCTTCTACATGCCCTCTTTGAGCTCTGGAGGCGTGCCTGGCCCCTCCACCCCTGCCTTTGGGACAAGGACTGCCCATTTGGACGAGGGAGATTGGGTGCCACAGGGAGGCCCCTAACTCAGCTCTCAGTGGTCTGGTAGGGGCAGACTTTCTGGAAGAGGTGACATCCAACAGCCACTTGCAGTGCAGTCAATCACCTTGGCCTTGTCCAGGTGGCTGAGCTCAGTGTGGCTGAGATGACGGGACTCACAAGCAGAGGGGAAGAGTTTGGAGAAGCGGGGGAAATGGGTGCTGCTGAGCTCCTGCTCCAAGGAGTGGGTAGAGTCAGCCTGGCCTGCCAGCCGGGAGCTGGGCAGAGGAGGCTGGGGACGATGGTGTCAGGCAGGTGCATGCAAAAGGAGGCAGAACTGGGTGGATTTTACCAAGAGGGCCCAGGGCCCAGTCAGGCCCCCGCGGGGTACTGCTCATGCTGCTGGCACCCCCACCTCCGCATGTCCCCGTGCCCTCGCATGCCTGTGGCTCCTGCATGTCCTTTGGTGTGACCGCTGGTTTCCCCCTGCAAACCTGCCCCTTCCTCAGCTCTGACAAGGAGCATTGCCTGTGCCCAGCCTGACTCAGGAGGCCAACTGGCACCGTGGGCCCTGACCCCCCCAATTCCTCCTGGATAGGACTTGAGGCTCTCCCCCACCTGATTACCCAGCTGTCCCTCCAGGCCTTCGGAAGGCAAAGGGCAGCCACCCAAGGGCCAGTGCACACCTTGGGAGCTAATGGTCCTCAAAGGTCTCCATCCCTCTGGTCATTCTCCAAGATGGCAGCTGTCCAGGGAGCAGGCTGGTTCCTGTGGTGCTCCTCACCACCGGAACTGCCCTTCCCACCAGAGGTTGCCCCAGTAGGCCTCAGAGAGGGCCCGCAGCCAGGAAGAACTTTGAACCACGCGCTGGGGTTAGGGGTGGCCGTGGCTTGGTGCCATCAGCTTCCTGGGATCCCGGGCCCTCTTCCCGCCTCGCCTCTGTCCCCTTGTCCCTGGGCCCCTGGACTCTGGTGGGCCTCCCATGGCCCCCGTGCACGTGGCTCTCTCGCCTCCCGCCCTTCCCAGCTCCAGCAGTACCCTCGGCTGCGGGAGGAGATGGAGCGCATTGTGACCACCCACATCCGGGAGCGTGAGGGCCGCACCAAGGAGCAGGTGAGCACCGTCCCTTGCCCCCTCTGTCCTGCTGTGGTAGAGTGCGCAGAACACGAGCCACTGCATTCACACTGAGGTACAGTGTCACCACCAGCCATCCCTAGAACTATTGTCATCTCTCAAAACGGAAGCTCTGTCCCCCATGAAGCACTGACTCCCCACCCCACCCCGGTCCCTGGCAGCCACCTTTCTCCTCTCTGGGAGTTTGCCTACACTAGGCCCCTCGTGAGTGGAATCATATGGTATTTACCCTGTTGTGTTGGCATATTTCACTTCATATATCTCCAAGGTTCATCCATCTTGTGTCTTGTAGCACGTTCCAGAATCTTTGTCTTTTTTTTTTTTTTTTTTTTGTGTGTGTGTGTGTGTGTGGTGCTGGAATTGAACCCAGGGCCTTGTGCATGTGAGGCAAGCACTCTACCAACTGCGCTATGTTCCCAGCCCTTGTTTCCTACTGTGACTAATTCTGCTATGAAAATGGATGTACAAGTATCTCTTCAAGTCTCTGCCTTCACTTCTTTTGGGTCTATACCCAGAAGTGGAATTGCTGGATCATGTGGTAATTCTACGTTTAGTTTCTCGAGCACCCGCCATCTTGTTTTCCACAGTGGCTGAGCCATTTTACCTTCCCATCGTGTGTCCTTCTCTTTCTTAGTCTGGCTTTCTCGGCTTTCTGGCCTCTGTCTTTCTTGTTGTGTCTCTTTGGGCCTCTCTTTGCTGTTTCTCAGGCTCACCTTATACTCCTTGTGGTTGACTCCTTCCTTTTAGGTTAGCATTCATCAAATATTCATTCACAGACATGGTCACTGAATGCTGTCTCTGAGCCGGGAGGAGTGGCGAGGAGCAGGGCCCATTATACCACTCTTCCCTGACCCGCCTCGGCCACCCCTCTGTCTGTGCTCATCTCTGGCTCCCACTTCCCACTCCTGTCCTCACATTTCCTCCACAATGATACGTCGTATTTTTGCTGTTGATGTCATGTTTAAAAATCTTTATTCGTCTCTTTCTAATTTCAAAAGTGATCGATACCCAATAAAACATTCAATTCATTTAGAAGTGATTAAATTGCGAGTAAGTGCACCTCCACTCACCCTTCCCCACCCCCGCAGTTTGGTGTGTCCCCACCCAGGAGTTGTCCTGAGTGCTCACACTCATACACACACTTTGCAAACTGCACCTTTGTCTTCAAGAGCCACCATCCTGCTGTGTGTCTGCCCCCTTTTTTTCTCTAAAGATAATTATAGCACTTCACATCTTTGAGCACCTATTATATTTTGGGCGCATGCCGACCTCACCTCACTGTGCCTACGCCAGCCCTGAGAGGCGGAAGCACCTCATTTGTAGGATTTTAGGCTCAGTGAGGACAGGCCCCAGGCTCCTAGGAAGCAGCCTGTCTCCTCAAAGTCACCTTGATCACCTTGAGTCTCTTCTCACTTCATAATGTGCCTGGGGAAGTGTTGTCCCAAGACAGCTCCTAGAAGTTCTCCTTATTCTTCTGAACGGCAGCAGACTGCCTATGGTTTAGGGAGTGCCATAATCTACTTCACCTTCTGATGGCCACTGGCTTCTTGGTAATTTTTCTCTATTACCAATTATGCTGTAGCCAGGCATGGTGGTGCGTACCTATAGTCCCTGCTACGGGGAGGCTGAGGCAGGAAGATCATCCGACCAGGAGTTCAAGGACAGCCTGGGCTGTCCATAGTGAGACCTTGTCTCAAAACAAACACATAACAACAACAACAACAAAAAAAAATAAACTACCCTGAACACTCTGGTACCTATACCTTTGTTCAATTGGTGAGCGTATTGCAAGGCAGTATGTGCATCTCAGTGTTGTTGTTAAATATTGCCAGGGCTGAGGTTATAGCTCATGGTAGAGCACTTGCCTCGCACATGTGAGGCACTGGGTTCCATCCTCAGCACCACATAAAAATAAATAAAGTGAATATATTTTTAAAAAATCGCCAAAGCGCCCTCCAAGAGGTGAAGTTAATTTATACCACCTGGACTGGGGCTGGGGCTCAGTGGTAGAGCACTTGCCTAGCACTTGGGAGGCCTCGTTCAACCCCCAGCGTCACCAAAAACAAACAAACAAACTCTTCTCCTAAGAGCGTAATGCCCCCAGGGGTCACCACTTATTATTAATAGGTGGGGAAAGGGCCTCCTTGTTGAACTGACATTTCTCTGTTATCGAAGGTGAGCCCCTTTTCCTCCATGAGTTGCCCGTTCATGGCCTTTGACTCTTTGACTATTGGCTATTTAATTTGCGTTTCTTTTATCTTTCACTCACTGATTGTAGGGACTTTATTGTTATTAACTTGGTGGTTTTAATGGATGCTAACCTTCTGTATGTGCCGCAAGAGCTTTTCTCCCACATGGTCATCCATTTTTAAACTTTGTGGTCTTTTCCGCTTGCTGCTGACCTGCGTAACCCCGAAGGTCATGCTTCTCATCGATATTGAGCTGGCTTACATGAACACCAACCACGAGGACTTCATAGGCTTTGCCAAGTGAGTACACTCCCTGCGCAGCAGAGGTGACACACTGTGTGATGCGTCTCTGTGTCCCTGTTAACCTGCCAAGGCCCCTGTGATCCCCCCTCCGCTTGGCTGGGTCCTGTGGCCCCTGCACAGTGGGCGGTGGGGCTGAGAAGCTCTGAGGCTCCTCCCTCCCTTCCTCTTAGTGCTCAGCAGAGGAGCAACCAGATGAACAAGAAGAAGGCTTCAGGCAACCAGGTGAGTGGGCCCCAGCGTCCCAGCGGCTCGAGGGATGGAGGGTACCGGAAGGACGCCAAGCTCTGAGAACCCCCCCTCCCCTGAGAGGAAGGGTCCTACGGGGGCCAGGGAGCCTGTCATCTGCCAGCCACAAGCATCCCACTCTGCCTCAGTAACCCTCTCTCCTCTCTCCCCGATGCTTCTCGTGGTTGCTATGGTTACCTCTTTGCAGGATGAGATTCTGGTGAGTACCAGGACTGGGGTTCTTTGGCTTCTGTAGTGAGGGGGAGGAGGGGGCCCTTTGGAAATGGGGGTCTGCAGTGGGCAAGAGGGCACCCTTTGGCTTGAATCACTTGCACACACTGGCACATGAGCGTCCCACACCTGCTCACTGGCCAAGCAAGGTCAAGCCATGCACGGTCCCATCCACCCATCCATCAGGGTGGTGAGCCAAGCACCTGCTTCAGGCAGAGTTAGACCCTGTGGGCAGGGGGCCTGATACTAGGAGCTGCTCCTTAGACATCTTTGGTCGGACGGGTGGATGAATGGATGGGTGAGTGAATCCTGGGGTGGATGTTGGCTGAGTGTATCCACTCATCCTTGTGGGGACAGGCCCATAGGGAGCTGATGGCCTTCACCAGAGCTGGCTAAAGAGATACAGGAAGTCCAGAGGTGAGTCCCTCCTCACCTGGCTTCCTGCTCTTCGTCCTTCATGTGTCTGCAGAAACCACTCATCAGGAGCCCTTGCTCCACCCCAGCTGTACACACGAGCCCCAGAGCATCAGCACTTTCCCCAGTAGTCTCCCCAAACTGTAGTTTCCTTGTAAGAATCTAGGTGTTGGTGTGACTGTTGGCTCAATGTCTCTTTCCCTCCCAGGCCCAAGGGGAGGGCTGAGTCTGTCTGGCTCATTATTAAGTCCTCAGCCCCAAGCCCCTTGCCTGGTGCATAGTAGATCCTCCATAGAAGGCAGGCATGAGTGGACGTAATGTCCTAGGGAAATGCAGTTAAGCCAGAACTCACAGGCGCCAGTCCCTGACTGAGCCTCCCCTGCCACCTGAGGGCTCCAGGTAGGGTGGGAGTGCTCTGGCGCTGGGGCTGCAGAGAGGGGCTTTGGATATGCGGGGAAGAGTCCAGGGCTGGGAGTGGTCGGGAGAGGACAAAGGCTGCAGGTCGGCAGAGAGTAGGTGGCAGCCCTGCTGGCCAGATCCTGGGATATGGAGTGGACTCAGTTCCAAAGATAGTGACAAGACACTGCAGGGCTTTTTGCCGGTTTGGTAGGGCAGGCAAGAGATGGTGGACACCTGTCTCTGTGTCCCTGTTAACCTGCCAAGGCCCCTGTGATCCCCCCTCTGCTTGGCTGCTGATTGGCTGTGAGGTTTCACTTCTCAGAGGTGAGAAGTGCCACAGAAGGGCTTTGGGGCTTCAGAAGCAGGTCCAGGCTTCCTTAGGTCTTTCCTGGATGCTCAGAGATGCAGCAAGGAGGTGAGAGCCAGAGAGAAGCAGTTCTCTCATCCTCTCTGGACAGTGACCCTGCCAGTGGAGTGGCATTCACAGGCCCTGGTCTGTGGCAGTGTTCAGGACAGTCCTGGGGACCACTGCTTTTTGTCATGAATATGGACCTTTGATTGTAATTCTGAGCTTTCCCTAGGAAGAAGAGGGCCTAGGTAATTCATCCGCTTTCCCTACCCCAGGGAGCATGGGGCAAAGATTGCTAGAACCGTGCAAGTGTAGCGTTCATTGTTCACACCACAGAACAATCGGAGTCTTCCAAGAATCCTGCAGGGTGCTGGGTTACACTTAGGAGCAAGAGCGTTAAAATACAGTTTAGCAGAGGATGCTGCATCAACAGATAATCTCTCTCTCTCTCTCTTACACACACACACACACACACACACACAGTATATTAAAAAAAAAATCACAGTCATCATTATGGAAGACCTAAGGGAGTGATCAAAGATCATCATGGGGATCCTGGTTTACATGGTGGGCCAGGGAGGGCCTGCTTGAGAACGTAAATCCTGAGTTGACACCCAAAGGAAGGGGAAGTACTTTCTAGGCAGAGGCAACAACAGCATGTGCAGAGTCCCTGAGGTCAGAAATAAGTCTTAGGGAGATTAGACCTAAAACTTAAAAGCCTCTTGCGGTTGTCTTCCCCACTCAGCCACAGCTTCTTGCACATTTACATCAACAGGGAGTTCACTCTCAGCCAAAGCCTCCAGCCCTTTGCTCAGAGAGCTCTGGCTGTAGAGGCCCCTCATCCGGAGCTGACCTCTGCCTTCCTCTGTCTCCTACTCTGTTCACTTGTGGTTCAAACCAGGAAAGGTCTGGCCTTCACCCTCCCTGACCAGTTGGGCCTCCAAGTGTTGGCAGGGGGTGGGCTTTTAAATGCCTTTCTTTGCCTACCCCATCCTCCATGGGGAAGCCTGGCCCCTGCCCACTGACCTCCCTGCCTCTTCCCGTCCAGGTCATCCGGAAGGGCTGGCTGACCATCAATAATATTGGCATCATGAAGGGGGGTTCCAAGGAGTACTGGTTTGTGCTGACTGCTGAGAATCTTTCCTGGTATAAGGACGATGAGGTGAGCAAGGGGCCACAGGTCATCGAAGAGTCCTGCAGGTGGCCTGAGTCGGGCTCAGACCCTGTCCTGCACCTGGAGTGTCCTCCACCACACCACGGGGTTTTTTAAAGTCTCATAAAAGACTCATGGGTAGAGTAGGATGCAAGGTCCGGAGGCAGCCAGTCCTGGGCTCTGAGGGAGGTATTCTCTCGCCCAAGGTGAAAGGAGAAGGTGGGCTGGTGGGACGGGGGAGCTTGGGCTGAGTGCCCTGGAGAGGGTGGGCCCTGACCCGCCAGTCCAGTGGCCTTCCTGTTTTCTCGCTCCAGGGCGTGCCGCCTCTCCATGGCCCCTACAGACCCATGACACACATGAGTCCAGCTGCCAGACATGCGGTTAACCCCTGCACCCCGGTCCCCCGGGCCCCTGATATCCAAGGGAGCTGGCCATTGTGCCTCCAGGCCGAGGGACAAGGAGCGATGGTGCCCTGCAGGGCCACCCACAGAACACCTCCCTGCCACTAGGGCACCCAGAAACCCCTGCCACCTCCCTCCCCTGTTGCTGGTCTCCTTTAAGAATGAGTCTGTTTGGCGTCCACATCTGGATTCCAGAGGTGACCAGAGAGAACAGGGAGGGCTGGGGGAGATTGTGGTAATGAGCTCCAGCTGGCCAAGGAGTGGGGGAAGGGACCCCCTTCTTCCTGAGGGGACCGTTGGAGGTTAGGGTGCTGTCGACGGGGAGTAAGTCTTGGGGTGGGGGCCAGTGATTTTGGTTTCCATGTCCCCTCCTTGGTCCCTGTCTCCTCCAAGTCTGCTCTGGGCAGGGGCCCCACCTCCCCCCTTGGGCGGGGCCCTCTGTCGTCACTGGCGGGGGCGCCAAGCCATCTGGACCTCATTACCCTAACCCTGGCCTCTCCCTGAGTCCAGAGGCCCCTGGAAGGGATGGAGTGTGAGGTGGCGTGGGGCGCCGTTGGGGGGTGGCTTCCTGCTCTGTCACCCTGGCTGGCTCCCTAGACACCCCTCCTTGGGTCCCGTGTTACTCTATGGGGGCTTCTTACACAGGGCCAGGGGTTGTTGTGCCTGTGCCTGGCTACACTGGGGAGGAGTGAACTTGACTGAGAGGGTCCCTTGTCCTCATACCTGTGGGTACGGGTCCTTTTGAAGCCTTGTGTGTGCGGTGGAGTTTGGCTGTGTGTGAAAACTGGCTGGGGAGTGGGGGGGCCTATGTTCTGTGTCTGGGGCCCGGGGCTGTAGCTTGTGGATGTTGTGTGGGGGGGATGCAGATGGGTGTGTTTAGGGTGTGAGCACCAGGTGTGAATGTGTGCTTCAGTGTGACTCTGCGTGCCTATGCTTGGGGTGTGCCTGTAGGGATGGGGGCTTGAGAGGGAGGGGGCGCGTGGGAAGTTTGGGGTGTAAGGGTGGGGGAAGGGTGTTCCGCTGTGAGACTGTGTGTCTGGGTGTGTGTGCGTGCACGTGTGTGTGCACTTGTGAAGTGTGTGTGTGCCTGGGGCGCGGGCATGGGCATCAGCGTTTGTGTGTGTGTGTGTAAGTTGTGCTGGTGCGTGTGGAGGTGTGTGGCAGGGGTGTGAGTGGATTTCTGCACCAGGACTGCTGGGGACATGGAGGCGCACAGAGGCTGGGGTCCGGCTTCCTTCTCCCCCCAGCTGCCTGCGTCTGGGGTGAGGGAGGCCCTCGGGGCAGACAGGCGCTGCCCACGTCCCCAGCTCCCCGTGACCCCGTCTTCCCAGCCTTCCTCCGCTGACCCCCCCACTCCCCACCAGTCCCACAGCAGGGTGGCACCCCCATCTCTCTGCACATCCTCCCAGCCCACCCTGTGCCCCCAAGTCCCCTGCCCCAGCTGCGGGCTCCAGTTCTGGGATGGCAGGCGGGTCGGTCCAGCTTGCAGCGGCGGCGCCGAGGGTCTAACCCAGCCCAGCCTAACCAATGTGCAGACTACTGTACAATGCGGGAGTCCTGAACAGATAGTCTAAACACTGGGTAGACGGAGTGGAGGTATCCTCTGGTCATCCAGGCAGCAGGGTCCGACCGTCCAGTGGTAGCTTCAGCTCCATGGCCTGGAGATCCAAGGCCCCCCCAACCCAGGCCCTGTGTCCCCCCAGCCCCAGCCCGGCCAGCCGCAGTCCCCTCTCTGCTCTGGACTCCCCTTCTGCCTCCTTTGACGTGGCAGGGGTGAGCGGGAGCTGGGCTGGGAAGGAAGGGCCTGGGGAGGGGGCTGGCCGGCAGGAAAGGAGGGGTGGGGGAGGAGGCCGCTCCTACCTAGTGTCCAACCCCCAAGCGCAGGGCGGGTGGCGGGCCTCCCTCGAACGGTTCCAGATGTTCCCTGGCCGTGTGTGCAACTTCCTCCTCTCCTCCCCCAGCCGCCCTCTGGGGCTAGCGGCCACCCGCCTGGCATAAAGAGGGCTTTATGTGGCTGCATGGGCCCGTCGGGTGTGGGGGTGAGGGGGGAAAGGATGACGGATGACGCACCAGGACGGGGAAACAAAGTCCCCCCAAACCCAGCTTCCCTACCTGGACCTTAAGTGATTTTCCTGTCCAAATCCTGAGTCCCCTGGAGATCATCCCTCCAACACAGGTCCCATGCTGTTGGGTGGGCAATTGGGTGGAGCAGAAACCCCTCCCACTCCTGGAGCCCTGGCCTGGGACACCTTCTCCTGAGATCCCTGAACCCCGCCCTGGGATACAGCAGCCTACAGATGCATGTATGTTCACAGATACACACTACAGGCCAACCAAACATGTTTAGCCCCTTGCACACACTGTATGTAGGTAAATCTGTGTTCCCATGCACAGGTCCTGTGGGCACATGCACGCAAACACACAGGCATTCACAACTGCCCCACATCCACAAAGTGTGCACACATCCACACCCATCCACAGCATGGTCACACTCACATGTGCACACACCTCTGTGTACCACAGACACATGAACACCCACAGAACAGTGACAGGATGCCTGCTTAGGCTTGCCTGTGCTTGCACAAATGTAACCACACACGTGCACAACCACAGACACTCCATCTCTGGGCTTGTGCTGTATGTCTGATTGCTAACACATGGGCAGCTGGGGGAGTGGGCTGAGCTGGCCCTTTGAAGCTCCAGGCTGGTGGCCCCCCTTCCCTGTCTCTGTAGTCAGGAAATGAAGTCAGAGGCCACCAGGCCAGGGGCGAGAAAGACTCATGTGAGCTGTCCCTGCCTGGGGCTGGCCTGGCTTGCCTCCAGGATTCGCTTAGGGTGGGCTGTGGGACCCACACTCAGCCTCCCCTGCCTCTCCTGCCTCCCCAGTGCCTTGGGCTCTGGGGTATATGCAGAGCTGCTGGACTGGCTTGAAGTCAGGGGGCGCTGGTAGTGCCAATTCAAGTCAGAGTCCCACAGGTTTTATTGGGCAGCACCTGTGTGGTGGGAGGGACTAGCACCCAAAAGCCCACCACTTCCCCTGGGAAAGTCCTCAGGAAAGTGCCAGTAGAGGTCTGAGTCCCAAGCCAGGGCTGCATGCTTTAGTGTCCCTACGGTTCAGGGCTTGGTCCCTTTCCAAGTACTTTTCAGCGCTAGGTGCTGACCAGCGTGGAACACTTGGGGACTGAGGCATGGCATGCCAACCTCACCCGTGGCTCCTCCCTCCGCCCACAGGAGAAAGAGAAGAAATACATGCTGTCTGTGGACAACCTGAAGCTGCGTGACGTGGAGAAGGGGTTCATGTCCAGCAAGCATATATTTGCCCTCTTCAACACAGAGCAGAGGTACCTGCCTGGCCCAGCGGGGCTGCTGAGGCCCCAGGTTCTGCAAGCCCCCAAACACTCCTGTTGAGTAGAAACTGGGTACTTTCCAGGAAAGAGCAGGACCTGCCCGAGGTTCACAAGGAGCCATTTATTTGACCCACATCTGTTGACTTTGTCCTGTGCTCTGGACATCATGTCTACATCTCTTCCTCTTCCTCTCTTTGCCCTTCCTTCTTCCTTCCTCCCTCCCTTTCAGTCAGTTGCTTAATGCCTGATCTGCACTGATGCTCTGACAGGCACTGGGGACAGAGAAGAGTCCTGCTTAGACCTTGTCCCTTCTTGCATTGCCCAGTTTCTCCTGGGGCCAGTGGCAGCACCAGGCCTCTCACCCACAACCCCAGGCCCCAGCCTTCAGGCCTCTCCTACTCAGAGATGAGGGTTTAGCACCCTTACCCTGGGAAAGTCCTCAGGAAGGTGCCAGCAGAGGTCTGAGTCCCAAGCCATGGCTGCATGCTTTAGTGTCCCTACGGTTCAGGGCTTGGTCCCTTTCCAAGTACTTTTCTTCCTCACAATAACCATAAGAGAACAATCATTGCTGATGAGGAAGCTGAGCCTTAGAAAGAGGAGGGGACTTGCCTGGAGTCACACAGCTGGGATACTGCAAAGCCCGGGCTGGACCCTAAGTGTGACAATCTCAAAGTCCAGGCCTGCCCTTAACCCCCAGGGGTGGGGCTCCACCCCACTTCCCTCCCCGCCTGCTGCATCTTGCAGGAATGTCTACAAGGATTACCGGCAGCTGGAACTGGCCTGTGAGACCCAGGAGGAGGTGGACAGCTGGAAGGCCTCCTTCCTGAGGGCTGGCGTGTACCCTGAGCGTGTTGGGGTGAGAGGAAGGGCAGGGAGGGGAGGGGCAAGCTGCCTACCGTAGGCCTCAGGGCTTCCCCTTCACAGAGGCCAAGTCGTGCCAGGTTTCTGAGCCCTTCCGTGGTTCACAGAGCAGGCACCCCCACCCCACCAGAGTTATGTGCTCTGATCCTCCCATCCTTCTCTAGTGGCAGTCTTGTGTGTCCCCTGTCCCGCCACAGATGGCATTTCCTGCACCCCTTCACTCGATGGCGGTGTCTTGTGGCTGCCTCTCTTCTCTGCTCTTGCTCTGGCGGTGTCTAGAGTCGTCATAGAGTTGGGGTGCAGTGCCCTGGGTTCACTCAATTGCTCCTCTTTTCCTCTGTGTGTCTGCTTCGTCTGTGCTCCCTGGTGGTGGCGGCGGTGGCAATGCTGATGTGGTGGCCTCTGTGGCTCTGGTGTGGGCCTCCCAGGACAAGGAGAAAGTGAGTGTGCCCTCCCTTGTCTCCTGCCAGGCACTCCAGCCTGGTATCAGTCTGTCCAGGTCTTTACACAGGGGAGTTGAGATGTCCTTCTCTAATGTCTGGATGGGGAAACTGAGGCTAAGTCTAGGCACTAGAGTCAGAACTGAGACAGGCTGAATGAGAGGCACAGGGGTGGGCAGAACCCTGCGCTGCTCTCTGCGCTTCAGTGTTCCTGAGAGCTCTGGAGGGCTGGGTCCTGGTATGCCTGCAGCCTGGCTGCCCAGACGTGGCCATGCCGACACCCTTCTATTCCCAATGGCAGGCCAGCGAGTCGGAGGAGAATGGCTCAGACAGCTTCATGCACTCCATGGACCCACAGCTGGAACGGCAGGTGGAGACCATCCGGAACCTGGTAGACTCATACATGGCCATTGTCAACAAGACAGTGCGGGACCTCATGCCCAAGACCATCATGCACCTCATGATTAACAATGTGCGTGCATCGCTGCAGGGGGTGGGGGATGGGTGCTCCCATGGGACCAGGGAGGAAGGCAATCTGAGGGAGACACTGGCCAGTCCAAGGGGACCAGGTCTCAAAAGGGAAGTGATGTACAGACCAGAGTTGTCCAACAGAAATATAACGTGGATTTAGTCTATAATTTTACATTTTCTAATAGCCATGTTAAAAAAAAAAAAAAAAAAGTAGTTGGGGACTATGGCACCGGCCTGTAATCCCAGTGGCTTGGGAGGCCAAGGCAGGAGGATCACAAGTTCAAAGCCAGCTTCAGCAACTTATCAAGGCTCTGAGCAACTTAGTGAGATTTTCTCTCAAAATTAAATTTTTTTTTTTTTTAAGGGTTGGGGATGTGGCTCAGTGGTAAAGTACCCCTGGGTTCAATCCCTAGTACCAAAAAAAAAAAAAAAAAAAAAGTGAAAAGAAAATTGGAGATATAGTACAGTGGTAGAGCTTGTGCCTGACATGCTTAAGGCCCTGGGTTCCAGATTCAGTTCCCAGCAAAACATACACACACACACACACACACACACACACACACACACACGCACACACACACGCACACACACGCACACACGACCAAAAGAAAACAAAACTTTATATTTTAAGTCCATGATATCAAAAATATTCTTTTCAGTATGTACTCATCTAGAATATATTAGCAAGATACTTTACATACTTTTCTACTAAATTTTCCAAATCCGATTCAGATATTAAGTTTCCTTTGGAAATGATCTAAATTTAGATTTCATGAAATTTACAATTGAAAAAGCAGATGCACATAGCCAAGTTGTCCCAAACATACATAAATGTTTTCCAAGAGCAGCACCTTTTGAGAACCCCCAGACATTTTCCAGCTCCTTCATAACTTGTGGCTTAGTGAAAAACCAGGTCCCCAGGGAAGTAGAACTAGGTTTGAATCCTGGCTTTGCCACAAACTCCCTGTGTGACTTTGGGCAAATAAGCTACCCAATCTAAGCCTGTCTCCTTACATGTAAAGTATAGATGTTGATGATAGATTCAATGCATATACAGTGTGCAGCAACTCGATGCCTGACACGGGACAGGTGCTCCACGTGTATTGGAATAAAGAGTAAATGAGACTGGGTGTCAAAATCTCAGCCAGGAATAACGTAAAGCCTGTGCAGAATAACACCTGGAGGTTTTAAGGGGAACATTAACAACGTATCCCCATGCACAGACTCGCGTTTCACTCAGTCCAGGCACACATTTACAGCTGCTACAGAACAGCGCTGAAGACCGCTGAGCGCTGTCAAGGGCTCAGAACATTTTAAACTGTTATCTTCCTTAGTGGAGCATGAAAGTTCTTGGAAAGGCTCAAAAAAACTGAATAGGCAAGTGTGTCCTCGTGGCATACTAGGTTCTAAGTCTCTTCCCAGATCTGTGACTTTGGACAGGTGACTCTTCTGCCTTAGAGTTCACGGTCCGCTTCTGAGAAAAGTGCAGTGCAGTGGGGCAGGAAATCCCCGAGGTTAGGCTCAAAGTCGCAACTGAAAACTGAATCTCGCTCCCAGTCGGGCGCACGGCCCCAGCAGGGCCTGGGGGGAAGGCAAGGCAGCACAGGCATCAGGTCCCACGCTCCTCCCTTCTTCGCCCGCAGACCAAGGAGTTCATCTTCTCAGAGCTGCTGGCCAACCTGTACTCCTGCGGGGACCAGAACACACTGATGGAGGAGTCGGCGGAGCAGGCACAGCGGCGCGACGAGATGCTGCGCATGTATCACGCGCTGAAGGAGGCGCTCAGCATCATCGGCGACATCAACACGACCACCGTCAGCACGCCTATGCCCCCGCCCGTGGACGACTCCTGGCTGCAGGTGCAGAGCGTACCGGCCGGACGCAGGTACCAGGGCCGGCCCCCACGGCCCCAAAGCCCCCAAGCCCGGGGCCCGCGGGAGGAAGGCCGGGACCGGGCAGTGGCGCGCCCGAGTCGCCGAGGCGGCTCCCACCTGGAGCGAGGGGCGGAGCGTAGAAAGGGCGGGGCTTAACGCGGGGCGGGGCTTGCCGTGGAGCGCTGGCTGCGGGGCGGAGCCGGATCATTGGTGATGCTAGGGGCGGGGCTTAGGCTCCCTCCACCACCTTGGGGCGGGGCTTGCGTGCATGGGCGTGGCCGGCACTGGGCTGGGGCGGGGCCTCAGGCTGGGGCGGACAGCTCATCTCGGGTTCTTCTGTCCCTGTCGCCCGCAGATCGCCCACGTCCAGCCCCACGCCGCAGCGCCGAGCCCCCGCCGTGCCCCCAGCCCGGCCCGGGTCGCGGGGCCCTGCTCCTGGGCCTCCGCCTGCTGGGTCCGCCCTGGGGGGGGCGCCCCCCGTGCCCTCCAGGCCGGGGGCTTCCCCTGACCCCTTCGGCCCCCCTCCCCAGGTGCCCTCGCGCCCCAACCGCGCCCCGCCTGGGGTCCCCAGGTGAGTAGGGTCTGACTGCGGCGGGAGAGGCCGCTGGGTGGGCGTGGCCGGGTGGGAGATGAAGTCGGATTCTAGAGCAGCTGCCGGGTCGCCAGAGCCAACCCGCTGCATCCCAGGCACTGGGTCCCCAGTGCCGGAGCCACGGACGTGGGGCCAAGGGCTGGCGAAGCCAGCTGAGTCCCGGAGGTGCTCTTTTCTGGGAACAGCTGTGGGGCTCATCCCACCTGCTCCCTTTTCTCCAGCACTTGCATGGCGCTTCACTCTTTTTTCACTTCTGGCACCCCAAACATTGCCTTCTTTCCTCCTCTCTTCTCAGTTCTCCATTACGTCCTCCTTTCTCCTGGTGAGCCTCGCTCAGGCCCAGGGACCTGAACCCAGAACCTTCCTCTGTGGACCATGAGGATTGTGTTGTTACACTCAGGGCTACTTGATCCCCCGTTTTCTAGCCCTCTTTTGACTTGTCTGTCTCAGGGTGGTGTCTAGCTTCTGGCCCACAGGAAGAGAGGCCAGGCTGCGACTGTGTGACCAGCAAGGTGTGTGATGTGTGTGTGGGCGTGCACACAGGTGTGAGTGTGAGTGGAACCCAGGCATGGGTAGGACAGGAAGCAGGTGGGGAAGGATTTTGGAAGCCATGGGACAATCTGGTGGCCTTTCCTTTCTCCCTGCTTCTGGCCCTTCCTACCTCCTCTGGACCAATGTGGTAGGGGTGGGGAAGGAGTAGGAGTAGGTATAGGCTGTCCCATTCCAGAATTCCAGAGATTTCTAGAGAAAAGGATTCTTTCCTTCCCTTGGTTTTTGGTTTTGCTCCTTTTTTTTTTTCTTTTGCAGTGCTGGGGATGGAACCCAGGGCCTTACTTATGCCAGGCAGCACTGAGCCATACCCCCAGTCCTGGCTTTGCCTTCTTCATCCATGATCCTCTTTAAGGAAGTTCACTCCAATATCTCACTTAGTCTGCCCTATATCCACTGGCCACATTCTCTGAGGAAAAACCCAGACCAATAGCATCTGTTTCCAGATAGCTGGAGGGTGGGGCTGGAGTTCTAGCCTCCCATAACCAAATGAAGTGGGCATGGGGCCTGCTCTTTGAGGATATGATGACCAAAGCAGATGGGGTGAAGGCAAGCTGCGTGGCACTGGGCAGGAGCACTGGACTGGGAGTCTAGAAATGTTGGTTCACTAGTTTTAGACAAGTCATTTTCCCTTCCTGGGCCTGTTTCCCTTCTACTGAATGATAATTAACTTTCTGCCTTTCTCTCAGGGTTGGTGTGGGGATCAAGGGAGACAAGGGCTGTAGGGATGCCAAACGACACATGTGGCTATAGGAGCACTTTGCCAACTGCCAATGTGAGCTCAGACTCTTATGGGTATTCCACCTGCCCAGGTCCCTGCTGAGGTGTAACATATAAGAACTGTCAGATCAGGTACCTGCTCTAATTCCATTCTCAATGATATATGGGAAACATCTGGAAAATGATGACTCTGCCTGGGGAAGGAGCAGACTGAAGGAGCTTCTTCAAAGCAGCTTGACTTTAGTGGGGAATGGGGCATGATGGAGATAAAGCTCAGGTGTAAAGAATCCAGAGGACATTGGGTTGGGAGAAGACATATGGGCAGATTTAGTGTGGACTACACTAAGGAGAGCTGCTGGCTGGGCAGAGTACAGACAATAAGGAAAGTGTGGATAAGGTGGGGCAGGTTGGAGAACCTTCATAGAAGAAGAGACTGACTTGGGACTCTGCTATAAGCAGTAGGGAGCCATGGAAGGCTCTTGGACAGAGAAATGACAGCTGGGCCCTAGAAAGCAAGCCTTTCCCTTGTAAAGCCGTGCAGTGGCCCTGTGAGCACATTAGGCACAAGAGCGCAGGGAGCTGGTGCAAATGCCTTGTGTGCAGGCAAGCTTCTGTATTGTGACAGCCCACGCGTGTGCTTCAGTGTGCCGAGTGGCTGCATGCCCCAGATCCATGCTGCACGAGCCAACCAGCAAGAGTGTTGGGCACTGGGAGGTGGTTGGAGGGAGGTGTATGCGTGTTGTTTGTGGGCATGTGTGTTAGCGTGTGCATGCAGGGCCGTGGGGCCTCACAGCATGTGTGTGCACGCCCAGGCGTGTGCGTGTGCGTGTCCCCTGCCCCAGGCCTGCCCCACTTGTGCGTGTGAACTGCCCTGTTGATTTCGTGCTGTCTTTCAGAATCACTATCAGTGACCCCTGAGGAATGTCAGCCACGGTAGGTACATGCTCTCAGCCTGCTGCATGAACGGTGTGTCTGACCCCACTGCACCAGCTCCATGCTGGGGGGTGCAACCTGGGACCTCAGAGCAGGCCCCCTCCCTCTCCCTTCTGCAGCTCCAGACTCCCTCTTTCCTTTCTGTCCTCTGCCAGCTGGCTCTCTTACCTCCCTTCTTAGCGAGCCTCGGGACTCAGCACCGCTGCCCAATGTCTCCATGGACAGGCTCCCTGCCCCAGATGGCAGATGTGGGTGCTCTCTGGAGCTACCAAGAGGCCAGAGAGCTCATGGTTTATGGTGAACGGGCTGGGACCTTGGAGGAGTTGTGCACACAGTTGATCTCTGAGGAGGCTGGAGGCCTTTGAACTTCATCCTGGGCATTCCACATCCAGCCCCCAGTCTGAGCCAGTAGCTGTGGCATGGCATCCTACTCCTGGCCTGGGAGCTCTGGGAACCAAGTCCTCCCCAGGGCAGGGGCTTGAGTGGACGCTGTGGTTGTTTGATTTCTGAAAGCCTGAGTGTCTTATACACAGTCAGTCCAGATGAGGCAGGGACACAGAGCCCCCTTCCCTGCCTCCTTGTGACAGAAGACAGAGTCCTCAGCCCCAGGTGAAGCAGCTCAGCCAGCCCTGGGTTCCTGCATCTTGGCCTGTTGCTCCTAAGGGTGACCTACACTTTTCAGCCTGGGGACAACAGTGTCTGCTAACTTGGGCGAGTCAGTCTCTGAGTTCCACCTGGCCAGGCCACAGTATGGGCCCGGTGACCCCACCTGCCACTATTCCCTGGCCACTGACTCTCACTCTTCTGCTTTTCCCCAGCAGGAAGGGCCCAGCCTCACCTACGCGACCTGCAGCCCCCCGACCAGCTGAGGCTCCCCTCTTAGACTTATAAGTCTGTGGCCACTGGCATCCGGCTGCCTGCCTCCCCTTCCCCCCAGGTCCCCTCAGAGGACTCCTGGGCTTTCCGATCACCAAGGGGCCTCCAGTGCTCCCTCCAGCACCCCTTTTAGCTTTGCCCTCCTGGTTCAAGTCTTCTTTCCAGCCTGGTGGCTGCTGTGGAGGCTAGGGGTAGAACACAGGGTAATCAGAGGTGGGGGTGGCCCCAGAAGGCCAGGCTCATGTCTGAACTATGGGAGCACTGCCTGGGTGGCGAGTGAAGGTTGTGTGTGTGGTGAAGCAGGGCTGCCCTGCCTGCACCAGGCTAACTGGGAGCGCTGGCCCAGCCACTTCCAGCTCCTCCATTCCATTTGCCTTCCCTTTCCTATCTGTCCATCTGTCCATTTCCTCTTTTCCAGAAACCTTGCCCACGCCCACAGCTGCATCACCTGTCAGGGCGTGGCTGCTCCTGCCTTACCAGCTCTCTCCTTCCTTTTCTCTCTCGTTTTCTCTTCAACTGCCAGCCGATCGGGTCAGGCAAGTCCGTCCCGTCCTGAGAGCCCCAGGCCCCCCTTCGACCTCTAACCAGATCCCTCCTATTCCTCGGAGACCTCCCTCTCCAAGCCTGCCTGGACAGCTGCTCTGTGACTTGACAGTGGCCCCCCACCCCGGCCCCAAAGCATCCCTTTTCATCTGTGACTTAGTCTGCCGTAGTGGTGAGCTGACACATCCAGGCGTGACGTTGGTGAAAACTTGTGTCCCTCTGTGGTATTGCTCCCGCCCTGTTCTATAAATATCTATAAATACTCTATACATATATATACATATATATGGCTGACTCAGCCACGCCTCTAGTGTTGGGAATCAGTCACCATGCTATCCTTGTGGAGTCGTGTGGCCTCAATACAAGGGAATGCTGTCGCCCTGATGTCCCCGGCTCCACAGTGTGCCACCTTCAGTGAGCCTCTCTGTCCTGCTTGGCCTGTGGACAGCCAGCCCCCTCAGCCATCCTTCTGTTGCCGCTCGAAGCATGGGGGCGCTGTGCTGGCAGCTGCTGGCTCTCTGAAGGCCTCCAGTCTTGCTGTCTCTCGGCTGAGAATAAAACTCATTCCTGGATGGTGGGGAACCGTGTGTCCTCTGCTGGCTTGTGTTCTCTGTGGGGCTTGGGATGGGAAGGTCTGCACACGGGCTAGGTGAAGAAGGGCCATGGCTAGTATGCTGTAAGGAGTGTGAAGGTGGTTAAAGCACCTGGAGGTGAACTTCTCATCCTGTGAACCCGGCTGTGGCCACTAGGGGGCAGGGCCACAAACTCAGCCTAGAGGGAGAACCTGTGGCTGGGGTGGGCACTCTGAAGGGGACAGCCAGGAGGAAGAGGCTCCCAGGTGTGGACAGGCCAGGGGATGGTAAGTCTGGACTGGAAGTTGACACCCTTAGGTGTTGCATCCTGTGACCCTTCCCCACTGTTAGATAAACCTTGTGTCTTCACACATTAGGACAAGACTGCCCTGAGAGCCCCCATGGTGATCGCCCTGGAATCCTCCAGGCTTCACCAAGCAGGGTAGAGGGGACAGGCTTGGAGGATGGCAGACAACCCTGCTAGGCATACTTCACGCAGTCCAGAAGCCTGCCCTCTGCTGGCAGGACCACTCCCTGCTTAGTGCTGCCAGCTGTCAGGACCCAGGACCCAGGGAGGCAAATAGGAACCCAAGGCTGAGCGGTATGGCTAAATCCATTTATTCAGAAATAAAAAGCAAAATAAACAGGAGCTGCATCACCAGGGCACCACAACCCCATTCCTGCCTCCTTCCTTTGTCCTATACTATCAATAAATAAGTTTCCCAATCCCAAATAATTATTAGACTCTTCTCTCCATTTGCCAGCTCCAACTATGATACAGGGGGCAGTCCTACCCCAGAATTTACAAAATGATACACAGGTACAATATGTACACTGGGGGAGGGGAGCCCACCCCCCCAGCAGCCTCTGCTCTGCCTGGCCTACAGTTAGCCTCAACTGTCACAAGGCCTGAGAATGCTGCCCAGTGGCCCTGCCCAAGATACTTCTGAGGATGGGAGCCCTCAGGACTGCCTGCGCCCACGCTACCCTCGCCTAGCCTTCAGTGACCCTAAATGTTTGAAGACCCATGAGAATGCTGCCCAGCTGACCTGCCAAAGTGCCTCTAAGACAGGAGCCCTGCTGAATGGAGGACTGCCCCCGCCAGACTCTGCCCCAGCCCCACCTACAGTGAGCCCCATCTTAAGGGCTGTGAAAATGCTGCCCAACTTGCCTGCCCCAAAGTGCCTCTTGTAAGAGGATAGAGCCCCCTAAATGAAGGACTGCTTGGTGAGGGCAAGGGGGCCACCATAGAGCCCTGCCCCTCTAGAAAATTATGAGCCTCTGGCTCCCTTTCTGGAGCAAGAGTCCAGAAATCAAGACTCAGCCCTAGCCAAGGTGGCAAAGGGTCTGCACCTGTTTGTCCCCTTATTAGGGGTCTTAACTTGCTAGTCCTAAGGGTAAAAGGGTAACTGGGAAGGAATGGCAGGGACAGGGGGGTAAGGGACAGGTGGGGGAAAAGTCCCTGGCCCCTCCTCCCCGGCCTCCGACTTAGATGACCATGATCTTAACCTCATCATTGTCGTCGGCACGGTAGAAGAAGGGGACGCAGGGGTTGGTGCCCAGGCCGAGGCGTTCCTGGGGGTTCTGGATCTCGCGCAGCAGCTGTATGATCTGCTGCGCAGTGTGGTTCTCAGGGGGAGAAGCCGCCCCAGCCTCTCCTTGTGCCGGCTCCACGCTGTCAGCAAGGCTCACCTCTCGAAGGTCTTTGGAGAGAGGAAAGGCCTCTGAGCATGGAGCAGCCCTCTGCTGCTCCTCCTGTCAGCCCGTCCTGAGGTCTCTACTCACCACCCTGCTTGTCAGTTGCTCCAAATTCCTGGGGGCTTGCTGGCTCTGGAGTGGTAGTCTCAGCAGGACTCTGGGCTGCTGCCAGGAACTTGCCCTGCCACTCGTTGCGCTCCCCCACAAGCCGCAGCACCAGCTCCTGCAGCTCCAGCAACTTGACCTGAAGGGAGAGGTGCTCAGTGCCCCAGCCCCCGCCCAGCCTGCAGGCCTGCAGAGAAGAGATGTTCAGGGGCTCCTACCTTCATCTCCTCCTTGTCCTGGGCCAGCCGGCTGATGTACTCCTCCTTCTCTCGGTGGCGCTCCTTCAGCACTGCCCTCTGATTTTGGTAGAGGGCAATGTATTCTCCTGCAGGGAGGGCAGGGCACAGGACTCAGATGCTGGGGCTCCCCAACAGGCCCCTATGCAACCCCCACTGCCTTGGGCCCCAGCTGGGCTCACCGATGGTGTCCGTCTCTCCAGAGAGCTGGATGCAGCGATGTTCCAGTTCCTCCACCCGCTCCTTGAGCTCCACCTTCTCCTGCATGACCTCCAGGAAGCGGCTCTGAGGCCAAAATAGCAGGGTCAGGACTCAGGAGGAAACTGTCCTGTATCTACACTTCCTCTGTTGGGAAAGGCTCTCACCTGCAGCTTCTCCATGGCCATCTGTAGAGCCTGGGTGCTCTCCCCAGACACACAATTGTCCCCACTCCTGGGGACCAGGGCTTGCTCTGTGGGCTCACTCTGGGATGTGGCTTCCAGATGAGCCAGGCGCCGGCAGCGTGTCTGCTGCTCCCTCAGCTGCCTGCGCAGCTGTGCCTTCTCTTCCTCGGCACTGGCTAGAGCCGCATTAAAAAATACCACCTAGAGGCAAGACATGTCCTTTTTATTGAAGAAATGCTCGGGACAAACCAGGGAGCAGAGAGCAGAGCAGCCCTCCCCTGGGCCTCAGTGGGTCACTACTTTTCCTAGGGGGGCAATCCAATCCCTGTCTCCACGGGAGGCGTGGGTGTTGGCGGAAATGGGAGTGGGAAAAACCAAGGTATCAGGACATCCAGAAGGACCACAGAGGGAGGCAGAAAAGGCGAGCTGGGGTAGGGACAGAAGAACACAGCTCACCATGGCCTCTCGGCTGTCCAGGTCCTCTGGGATGGTCAAACTGGGCCGAGAAGCCTCCTCCTCCTTTTCTTCCTTGTCCATTTCATCTTCTACTGCAGACAGCCAGAGGGATCCCTCAGACAACCCAAGGGAAGGCCCAGGAAAAAAAGGGTCCACTTCTGACCCCTCACTGTGTACCCCTGGGCCAGCCTCCCCAGAGATTAACAGCACGTTCCGAAGGCTTCCTCTAACTCTGTTCCGCCACAGTCCCTTCTTCAGGCTCCCCTCCTTGGGACGGTTTCACTCACCTTCCCCAGGGAGAGCCAGGAGGCTCAGCTGGGCCTGTAGCTGTTGGTTTTGCTGACTGGTGGCTTCTAGGCGCTCCTACGGATTGGGAAGTGAGTGAGAAGGCATAGAATGGCCAGATCCTCCACTTAGGAGCCCTGCCTCAGCAGCCCCCTCACCTGGGTCTCCTGCAACTCCTGGCGGGCCATCTCCACTGCCATCTTGCCCTGCACCTCTTCATGCTGCAGCCGGTCCATAAGCTGAGTCTGCAGCAGAACCTGCTTGTGCAGCGCCTCCTTCTCGGAGGTCAGCTGCTGATAGGCAGCCACGTGCTGTTGATAGGCTGCCACGTACTGCTGCAGGTGAGACAGGTACTGGTCTCGCTGCTGTTGCAGACCCTGAGCCTCCTGGCTCTTCAGCTCCACCTGTGGGAAGGCCCTGGGTGTAAGGGCAAGTGTCACTTGCTTCCAGTTCTTGATCCCAGCCCCTAAGTGACGGTGGTGGTTAGTGGTGGAGGGTAACAGAGCCCCATGCCTCCAACACTTAGCCTCACACTTTGTAACCATCTTTCCCTACCATGGGAACTTCAGGCCACAGATGTGGAAAAGCAAAGAGAGCCACACACATCTGTTAAGTGCACCCTACTAGTGCCCAGTAACTGAAGCTAAAGAAACCAGGGTTAGCGGTGTGAAGCATTAAAGCCTCCCATCATGACTGTCTCTTCCCCTATAGTGAGGGCACATGGGGCAAGGGTTACCGTCTCCTTTAGCTCTCCCAGCTTCTCCTGTAGCTGACCCAACTTCTTGGCCAGCTCCTTCTTGACGTGCTGCTCTGACTGCAGCGCACTGGTGATCTCCATATTCTCATTCGTCTGAACAGAAAGCAGGAATCAGTGCCATACAATGCAGCTAGAGACCCCAGGCCTGGGTGTCCACCTGCCACAGTCAGAGAGTTATCCCTCCCCCCACAGACACCTGAGCGAGGCTTTAGCTCGCAGGGTGCTTCACAGCCACCATTTCGTGGGGGGCGGGGTGGGGTGAAGGCCAAGACAGAAAGGCCCAGAAGGACCTGATGAGGAAGGCCTGTGAGCCCGTGGGCCACGCACCAGCCTTACGAAGCCGTTCTGCAGCTCCGCCAGCTGCTCCTTGAGCTCACGGTTCTGGGAGAGCGCGCGGCTGATGGTGGTGCGGTCATTCTGCATGCTCTCCAGGATCTGCTTGCGCTCCTCTGCCTGCTCGCCCCAGAGCTCCGCAGCATGCTCGAGCTCCAGCAGCCGCTCCTCCTGCTCTCGATTCAGGCGACTCAGGCTATTGTTATCCTGCACCTGGGCATGGAGCTTTCCAGCCAGGTTCTCCAGTTCCTTCTGCAGCTGCTCCACATCTGCCTGCAGCTGCTGCTCTGCCTCTGAGGGCCCTGCAGGGGGCTCCACGGGTGGGGGCTCCACTGAGAAAGGAAGCACACAATAAGGGACTTGGACCTCTGGCTTTTCAGAACCCTCTTCGTGGGTCCACAGCTCTTAATTCAGGCTCCTCACTCCAAACCTTGCCTTCCTAATAGTTCCTCATGCCTACATGATGGTCAATCCTTCAAGTCATTTCCCAATATAGTTCCTTACACTGCCATGCTCAAGTCAACTGTGGGAGGCTGGCAGTGGGCACACCACCCCTCTCCGAAGATGGGGACACACTGCTGGCTCAGAGAGGTGATAAGATTTGCCATACATCTTCTGGCACAGACCCCTTTCCCTCTGCCACAGTGTCCTTGAAATCACTCCTCTCCCTGAGGTAGTCTAAGCCACCCCTCCAAAGCCCTCAGACATACTCCGGCTCCAGGTGACCCTCATCCCCACTCACCCATCTGGCTCCTCAGTTCTGCCAAGTTAGTCTCCAACTCCTGAACCCGACTCTCACTCTGTTCCTTCTCTTCCTTCAATGTGCGCAGCTGCCTCAGGCACAGGGGGAAAGAGCAGAGAGAGGGAGGGCATGGAGGACCCTGGCCCCGACTCCCTCTCTGCCCCCACCTCCAAAAATCCAGAACATGGACCCCTCTCCTGGTTGCACTCCACAGCAGGACACACCAGGGAAACCCAGCAAGCCATCTGAGGTCAGGCCTCACCTGCTCTGACATCTGCTGCATCCTCTGCTGCCACATGGCGCTCTCTCCTTTCAGGTTCTCTGCATAGTGGTCTCTCTCCACCTGCAGTTGTTTCAATGACTCCATCAGCTAACAAGAATGAGTACAGAAATTAGGAAGGCTTTCACTGGTTGTTACCTGCTCCTGGCCACCTGGAGCCATCTTCCTCCCATATCCCTCCCTCTGCAAAGCCTACCTGCCCCACATGTTTCTCCAGCTGTGCCCGCTCCTCTACGGCCTGCTGTAACTGCTGGTTACTATCAGGGGCTTCAGACCGGCTAGAGAACTGAAGTGGGGAAAGTGAGAAGTTTAGATCTGGGGAGCCCAGGTGTTCCACATGATGCCTCCATAGGGTGTGAACTAGATCAGTGTACGACTCAGGGTCATTACCACATAATAAAAGTGCTGGCTGAACCCTCAGGAGAGGGAACAGACTCCTGGATAACCATATAGAGGAAATCTACAACACGATGGTGTTCAACCAAGATGATTTAAAAATAAAAATTTAAAAAGCCATATCATTGAGATTCTGATTCCACAGGTCTGGGCAGAGCTCCCATTTGTGGATTTTTTAACCATCTCTGGAAGATTCTATGGCAGGACCAGACAAGAACCCAAATTTTCCAGCTCTTGGCTGGAGGCCACCCTGATGACCGCACGGGGCCAGGGCTGGGGCTGCTGGGGCTGCCGCCTTACTTGTTGCAGCAGCAGCTCAGACATCTCCAGCTTCTTTTGGAGCTCCTCCGCCCCCAGCTGCATAGCTGCTTTCTCTGCCAGCACCACACGGAGCTTCTCTTCCAATTCTGAGTTCTGCTGCTTCAGATCCTCGTTATTTATGCTGTAGTCAGAGGCAGCACAGTAAGGAATGCACCAAGAACAGGAAGAGAAATTTCGGTGACCAACCCATTGCCCTTGCCACAGAACCATGGCATTAGAAGGGACTCCAGGAATCAGGAGTCACAGGTGACAGACCACAGAGAAGATACGAGTAGCCTGAGGCTGCCCCAGGAATGAGGCAAAGGCTGGGACTACAGTTTGGCTTTGGATACATCCAAGCCTATAAAAAACCTCCTCCCCACCCCCACCCCCACCCCCACCACCTCACTAAAGTCCTGGACTGCCCATTCTCCTTCCCCTTCCTACTTGTTCTTGTACAACTCCAGCCTGAGGGCATCTCTCTCTTTGGTTAGCTCCTTGTTGTGCTGCAAATACAGAAAACAAAGTCAGGATCTGGACCTGGCAGGCCAAAGAGGCAGCCAGCACTCTAACCACAGTAACTATTCCAGAGTGACACTTCCTCACCCTCAATCACACTTGACAGTTTTCCAAGGCATTGCTAAGCCCAAGGTTCATTTATGTTTTCATGTGTGTTTGCTTTAATTTGTGTGATAGGGAGTTAAATACCTGCTGGTATTTAACTCCTGGGCTCAAATGATTATTCTGCTCCTCTGTACTTGGGACTAAAGGTGTACCACCAAACTCAGCCTTGATTTGTTGTTTTCCTGGTGCTGGCAACAAAACCCAGGGCCCAAAGCATGCTAGGCAGGTGCTCTATCACTGAAATACATCCCAAGCCCTCTTGTTTGCTTTGACTTTTATTTATCTGTTTGTTTATTTTTTGGTGTTGGGGATTGGCCCAGGGTTGCTTTATCATTGAGGTACATTTCTAGCCTTTTTTATTTTTTTAATTTGGAGACAGAGTCTCACAAAGAGGTTGGCATTGAACTTGTAATTCTCCTGCCTCAGCTCCCCAAGGTGCTGAGATCACAGGAGATCACCAGATCACCACCCTGCTTGATTACTCATTTGTTCTGAATAAGAACTCAGTAAGGCTCGGCATGGTGGCACACGCCTATAAGCCCAACAGTTTGGGAGGCTGAGGCAGGAAGATCGAGAGTTCAAAGTCAGCCTGCCTCAGCAAAAGGGAGACACTAAGCAACTCAGTGAGAACCTGCCCCTAAATAAAATACTAAATAGGGCTGGGGATGTGGCTCAGTGGTTGAGTGCCCCCGAGTTCATTCCCCAGTACCAAAAAAAAAAAAAAAGAACCCAAAAAGGGTAGAAGAGATAGGGGAAAAAGATCTAATAGATAAAAGATCTACAATTGTATCTAATACTGGTGCTACTGTTATTACTACTAGCAGTAATTATCTACACTAAGTGCTTTGCCAGGCATCATGCTAATGATCCCACTTTATCTTTATAACCACTGTATGAGGCAGTTACTGGTTATCTCCATTCTGTAGGTGAAACACAGCCTTTAAGAAGCTAAGTGGCCTGTCTGGGATCTTATGAAGAGCTCAAATTTTAACATCCTGGTCCCCACACAGGGTTGGGATATAGTTAGAAGAAAAGAAGTTAAATCTGTTGTTCACAATTTGATTGGATGGTACATTCACATAGTCCAAAACGCAGAAGGTACAGAAGTGAAATGTCACTAGGTGTGGGGACACACACCTATAATCCCAGACTTGGGAGGCTGAGGCAAGAGGATTGCAAGTACAAGCCAGCCTCAGCAAGGACCTAAGCAACTTACTGAGACCCTGACTCAAAAAATAAAAAGAGCTAGGGGTGTGAACCCTTGGGTTCAATCCCCAGTACCCACCCCCCAAAAAATAAGAAGTGAAATATGTCTTAGCCACCCTGTTCCTCTCCCTGAGTTTATGTATTCCAGACATGTTTTATGTATATTACACACATGCCCCCTTCTCTCTCCACAAATGGAAACATACTAAGTTCTTGGGAACCTTCACAGCCCATGCATCATATATCCCTTCTCCTAGCACCTGGCAGAGGCCACAGCAGGCTAAGGGCATGGTGGGCTTCCCACCCTCAGGGCTCCATATCCAGTGCTCACTGTGCAGAGCACCTGACTCATCCCCAGGCTTCCACTACCAACCACACCACACAAAGCAGCAAGAAACGGCCCATGCTGCATTCTGAGCAGCAAGATGCTCCATCCACAGAAGGGCCCTTATGCTCACTCCTGCACTGGAAAGGTTAGGCTTCTGGTGGCGGGGCAGGAGACTGGGCTCACCCTGTCTGCCTTCTTTTGCTGTGTGGAGACAGCAGACAGAGTCCGTTCCAGCTCTCCTACACGCTGTCGGGAAGACTGCAGACGGCCAGCAAGACCCTCAGACTCTCCTGGAATGAGAAGTCGAGATGAAGCCTCAAGAAATTACCCACAGGCCCGCCAAAGTGTCAGACTGGAGGCTGAAGAGGTCCCCGGACTCCCACCTGCTTTCTGCCTGGCTGCGTGCTGAGTGTGAGCCAGGGCTGTCTGTAATTCTGCTTTCTCAGACACCAGAATTCCTATGGTCTGGATGTGAACCTTTCAGAGAAAAACCAAAACAAGTGCTGAGGAGGAGGAAAGAGGTGTTTTCCAGGGAACATAGGGAATACATGGCACTGTCCACTCACCTGCAACTGTTCCCTTAGAGCTCCCTGCTCCTTTGCCAACTTCTCTTGACACGCCTTTTTCTCCTAGAGGCAGAGGAAGAAGCAGCTCTTACTGGGGGAGGCAGAGATGGAACAGCAAAGGCCATGCCCCAGAGAACCTCAGTGGCCCAAGCAGGCCCACAAATGAGACCTGAGTATGAGGTACCCTAAGTGGGACAGGGTGGGCCATGGGGGTATGGGCAGTGAGCCTTCTCCAGGCTAGGAGTGGGCAGGACAAGACTGCGGCCTCTACCTGAGTCCTACCCCAATCCCAGGAGCCATGCAAGAAGCAAACACAGAAATCACATTACTTTTTCCAGTTGATCCAGAGTGTCTTGATTCTGCTGTTTCTGCGGGGAAAAAGTCAAAGGAAGGTAATTGGGGTTGATCCCTTTTATGCCACTCTCCAGATCAGGACGGGGCAGGCAAGTGCCAGGGATGGATCTAAAAGAAGTTGTCAGATCCCATGGGGACAGGAACTGACTAATTCAAGCTCCCAAAGAAAGAGAATTTAGGTGTTGACTGGTGTTCGCTCACAGCTATGCAAGGGAGGGGCTGAATCTGAGTTCTCTTTAAAGGACAATACCATAAATCTCCAGAAATGGAGTTGGAGAAACAAAGACAACCCCCTGCAGCTTGTGACTCAGGAGGGTGCATTCCCTCGGCAACTGAGCACATCCTATGGGCCAGGTAAAATTCTGAACAGTAGGGCTATAGGAAGAAGAAAGATGGACAAGACCCCTCTTCTCCCTGGTGCTTATATTCCAATGAGCCTTTAAGTCTATGATGCTCAGAGCTGAAAGGGACCTTTGATTCCCTTTAATTCTACCTCTGTGGGAAACTCAAGCCCAGGGAGAAGTGGTTAGTCCAAAATCAAAGAGAGCAAATTAAGGACTGAACCAGGGCAGTATGCGGGGCTGCTGACAGCCATTTAGGCTTAGGCTCCTCCTGGAGCAACAACCTCAGGGCAAGTGGGGCAAGGACTCAAGAAATGGTCTTGAGGAGAGAGAGGACACAGAGAGGGAAGCAAAAGAAAGAGCCATGCGGAATGCTCTATGCTCTGAGGTCTCTCCAGCTGAGACCTAGGCCCCCCAGCACCCCATTCCCCTTGGCACCAGGGGCCCCCAGCCCCTTACTGCAGAGCCCCAAGGGAAACTGGAGCCCAGGATTGGCAGCATGAAACCAGGGGATCCCACTGGACTCTTACCAATTCCTCTATCTTGCTACTGAGTTGTTTGTTTGTTAGATAGCTGGAGTCCAGGGCTACTGCTAGCTCTTGGTACCGGCTCTGAGGCGCATGCAGAGAGGAGGAGTTGGAGGAGGGTTGGGGGAAGAGGTAGAGAGAGCATCATTAGGGTTGGGGGGTGTGTGGACTGTCTCAGCTGGCAGCAGGGCACCCAGGCCCCACTGTGGGAGAAGATAGGAGCTGGCCTGCAGGGTCACTGGGCCAGGGGCCAGGGTCACTCACCTCCAGATCCTTCATGTTAGCAGATGATGAGAGGCCTTCTCCATTGATGTATGATGTAGACTAGAAGAGATGAGAGGTCCAATGGAGATGCTCATTTCCTCTCAATGTCTAAGCCCTCTGACTTCCTTTCTTCCCTTTCAACTAGCAAAATCTTCCCTGGCCATTTTGGATCCCTATTCCCATAACCCCTTTATGCCAACTTCTCAGGGTTCCTATGCTCCCATCAGGCTTCCCCCTTCCAAGCAGCTTTCATCTGTGTTTTTTGCACCTGAATAAATGATGGCATCAAACATATATATCCAGTCCCTTATCTGAACTTCTCCTCCCCACCTCTGCTCCCTTATGGACCCTAATTTCTTAGGTACCTCAGATACAAGACCATTGAGCTGTTGAGAAAGTTGTCGCAGGCTCTCGGTTGATGAGAAAGTCCTAGAGATGGAGACACAGGGTCAGGGGTAGAGATGGCTCCATGGGAAAAAGTTCATGGGTGGTGGCCATCCCTGACTCCCGTGGCCTAGGGTCTGCTCCCCAGTAGGAGATACTCACTTTGTTTCATCCATAATATTAGGACCAATGTTGGCATCATGGTTCTGTTTGGGAAGAAACATATGATGTGGTCATTCAACTTCTAGTAAAAATCACCCAGGGACAGGGTGAGCCAACCTCATTCCAATAACTTTCCATCTCCCAAACCTCAAAGAAAAGCAGTGTCTTGGCCTCCCCATCCCAGCCCCCAGGAAGAGCACCTGGCTCTAGAGACCAAGCTACCTGAAGAGCGGAGAGTCCGTATGAGCATTATCCTTTGGGAAGAGGATGAGTAAGCACACAGGAAGATAGTGGGCAAAAGGGAAAGGAACAAACCTGAGGTGACTCCAGGCTAGGGAGAGTAGGGCCTGGGGAAGGGACACGGCCAAGTGACACGCTGTCATCAGCAGCTGGTGGTGCAGGAGCAGTGTGGTCTTTGGGTACCTGTCACAGAACAGAGCAGGGGGAGGGGGTCAGGGGCCATATAGGAGAGAACCTGCTTCATTGCTATGGACACAAGGGTGCAGAGCAGGCAGGACATTGTTGCTGCAGTCAGAGGGATAGTCATATGTGCTGGGAGCACCTGGGGGTATAGATACCGTTAGCCCAGGCTTCAGACTGCTTGGCAGCATTTCAGCCAGCCAAAGATCAAAGCAGGGGCTGCATGACCCCCTTCCTAAATACCTGAGGACCTTGTTCTCCCTGGGGCTCAGCAAAAGGTGGTACAGGCTTGGGCCAATGGCAGCCACAGCAGGTAGAAGGAAAGTGTGGCCAAGTCAGGGAGAAGAAATGCACTGTTCTAGAGAATTACTGTGACCCTAACCCTGGGATTCTGCTGGCCAGAGACTATGGGTGATGGACTTGGTGTCATAGTCCACTCCCCTCACCATAACCTAGTTCTACTAGAAATCACATTGTCTCCATTATTCCCCATTTCTGGAGACACCACTATCTCTACTCAAGGAACTGCAATCCCATCTCTGCATTCCTAGAGTAGAAAACCTCTGTGGGAACCAGTTATTGATGCAGCTAGGCTTTGAAACACAATAAGTCTTCACCTCCACAACAGAGGCACAGGCTGGGTGCACAATCTCAGAACACTAGCACAGACTAGGATTTTTCTGATGAGAAAACAGCCCCCTGTGTGGCTGGCCCCTCACTAGGGCAAACGCCAGACACACAGCTGCAGGACTTATTGAGACTCCCACCTCACATGCCACTTTGTATCCTCCAAGTTGACAAAGTGAGTCATAGCACCTGGGTAGACCTGACCGCCTGGGTGGGAACAGCTATGATGACTGGAAAACTCTTCAACCCGTCATCCCTCTCCCTATGCCCAGTTCCAAAAGGATCTGGCTCTGTCTTAGCTCTATTGCTCTGGCTTGGCAGATGTCCTTGGACAAGTTGGCTAAAGAGAAAGTTCCAATACAATATCCAATGGAGGCCAATGCCTAGCCCTGTGTACCCAGACCCTGCCCCAGGACTGAGTTACCTGCATTCCTGAAAGGTCCTCTATGACTTCATAATGACCTCATAATGCTGACCATGACCCTTCTGTTCCCTCTGCCTCCCCACTCTCCATGTGCATGAATGTTACTCACCTTTAATCTTCAAAGTGGCCTCAAAGTGGCCACCTCCTCCATCCTTGAATCCATTCAGAACCAATTTCCCCTCACTTAAGTATTTGGGATGGTGCCACATTCTCCCTAGCTTCTCTCAGAAGCCTCTCCTCCCTATGCCTGCATCCCATCTTGTGTCTGTTTTCGCCTCTGTTTAACAAAGTGCCTGTGCTTTGAAGGGCCAAATGAATATGGCCAGGTGTCCTCTGATTTTTAAGAGAGATTAGGGGCAGAGTGTTCTGGTCGTTCACCTGTTGGTTAACCTCACATCCTTTACAGTTAGTTGATCTGAACAAAATAGCCTCAATCCTTGCAACTATAATGCAAACTCACTTTTTCTTAACCTTACATTCCCAAACTTCAAACCCAATGAAGTAATCAATCAAGAAAATTACAAACTTTTAAGGTCTAATGATCTTTTAGGGATGGACACACAGAGGACAAGACCTAAAAAGTTTTGCTGTTGTTTTGTTTTTTAATCTCTCCCAGTCTGAAAGCACCACACTGGGCATTCAAAAGCTCAAGCTCCACACACCTTCTCTCAAAGTTATTCCCAAATTAATTTTAGTCTTCAAGGTATGTTTCACCTTCTCCAAGATGATAAAAGATGTGGGGAAGGAAAAAAGCCCAATCAACAAAGCAAGTGAAGAAGCAGATGTAAGCAGGCTGAAGGTTAATGGCAGCAACATAAAATAAGCCAGAGGCAAATGATCCCCAAACCAGAGAAGCCTCAGAGGCATGCACAGCTGGGAGAGAGGAAGCCAAAGGGTGGTCTCGGCACTGCCTCACCTTCCACTTGTCCAATGGGGGGAGCGCTACCCCATTGGAATGGTTAAGGTCGGACACCAGCACCTTCAGAATGTCCTGAATCTACAGGAGGTGAAAAGGGAAAAACAAGGGTGGGGGGAAAGAAAGAAGTGGCTTAGAGAGAGGCAAGAAAGTCAAGGGAAGGGAGAAGAAGTTGGTTTAGGAAAATGAAATGCTAGAAGAGCAAAGGAGACCAATACCAGGGCCTGTGCCATCCTTCCAAAAAGACACTTGCTGCCTTGCAAATAGTAAAATTCCGAGTGATGTAGTCAAGTTACCTGACCAGTGCAAGTCTTAATATGCACATGAGACCCTCTCCTCAGGCTTAGGATGAAGGGCAGAATCTGGAAGAGCTCCAGACGCCCATCTCCATTTCAAAAACTGGACTCCCAAGTAAGGGTTCACTAGAACACAGGGAGTTGGAGCTAAAAATTAAGTTTGAAAGACAATGATTTAATCCAACCATATCATCTTACAGATAAGGAAACTGAGACCCTGGAAGAAAATAAATTTTCTGAGGTCACCCAGCAAGCTAATAGCAAAAACAGACTCAAAATTCAGACATTCTTCCAATCCTGGAGCCTGGAGCTCTCCTCGCCACACCCTAGGGCTCTTGCAGTGATGCATCCTAAAAGAAGAGCCTGATGGCAAGCAGCTGTTCTCAATTGCCTGGCTTCCCCCTGGCCCCCAAGGCTGAGGAAACCAAATAGCAACTACCATTTATTGAATGTTTACTCCAAACCTGACTTTCTATTAGGAAATAAACATAAAAACAATAAATCTCATTTAAGCCTCATAAGTGTACATAAAAACTATATACATATATATTTTTTTTTCAGTGCTGAGGATTGAACCCAAGGGCCTTGTACAACTGAGACACCCCCAGCTCTCAAAACCAAAATTCTTTTTTTATAATATTTTTTGAGTTTTAGATGAACAACATGTCTTTATTTTTATGTGGGGTTAAGGATCGAACCCAGTGCCTCACATATGTAGACAAGCACTCTGCCACTGAGCTACCACCCTAGCCCCTCAAACCCAGAATTCTTTTTTTTTTTTTCTGTAGTTGTATATGGACAGCATACCTTTATTTTGTTTATTTTTATGTGGTGCTGAGGATTGAACCCAGTGCCTCACACATGCTAGACAAGTGCTCTGCCACTGAACTAGAGCCCCAGCCCTCAAACCCAGAATTCTTAACCAATACCTTACACTTCTTCAATCTTAACCATTACCCTTTTCTGCCCTTCGAACCCCCAATCCCTGGGAGCCGGGCCAGCTAAAACTCACATCCTCAGGTGAATGACAACCACCAGCAGTGGTTGTCTCAGGGCTACTGCCATTTTTTATCTTTTTTTTCTTCTTTGCTCCTGCAGGAACACCAGGACTGTTCTTCTGCTGATACTCTCTCAGCTGTGAAAAGGAGAAGCAGTGACATTCATGAGAATTAGCCCCTATATTCACATCTTCCTCTATAATTTTTATAAAATATTCTTATGTGTACCATCTGATATAATGTCATCAACAATGTCACAAGGTGTTTCAATGATTAAGGACTGAAAAGATGGACTACAAACATCGGGTTTTTTTTTTTGTTTTTTTTTTAAAGAGAGAGAGTGAGAGGGATAGATAGAGAATTTTTTTAATATTTATTTTTTATTTTTCGGCGGACACAACATCTTCGTTTGTATGTGGTGCTGAGGATCGAACCCAGGCCGCACGCATGCCAGGCGAGCGCGCTACCGCTTGAGCCACATCCCCAGCCCTCGAGTTTTTTTTATAAAGACAATAATGGAGTTCAAGTTCAATCTTCTGACTCCCAGCTCTGGAGTTCGCCATAAAGCAGCAGCTCCCAGGGGCAAGCCAGAGGTAGGGGTGGATAAGTAAATATTAAGTAAGCAGGAACTGTACACTGGGCGGTTCAGAAGCCAAATATTAGAGTCCTGCTTATACCTCTGTACTTCCCAAAGTTTTACAAATCAACATATCCTAATAGAAGGCAGTAAAGACACAGTCCCAGCGAATCTGGCAACAGAGAACAACCCAAATATCATTTCAGAGAGGTCTATTAAAATCTTAAAAATCTATACAAATGTCATCTTTATATATATTAATGTTTAATCGCTCTCAAGAAAATAAACTGATGCTTCAGAGAGATGCCTCACATTTATTATCCCAGAGCACTCTGCACTCCAAGTTGTGAAGATGAATTGGGGAAGATGCAAACTGTGAAGCTCAGTTCCCAGGACCTGTTCCACATTAGACAAACAGACCTCACTCCAGCAAACACTGAATGAAGGGCACCCTGGTCCCAGAATCTCAGGGAATTTGAATGTAAAGATGTCAGGAAAAAAAAAATTTTTTTTAAGCCACTCTGGAAGGTAGAAAATCCCAGGTTTAGGAAGAACCCAAACCTGTTCTTCCATGGTCACCGGGAGATACTGTCAACCTTTTTATTAGCTCACTGGTGAAGTGTGTAGGCTTTCTGAGTTATCACTTTGTGAGTTGGAAGTAATGGAGCCTAAAACCTCTCAGCACTAGGTCCCACAGACCTGAGAGTTCCCTTCCAGGTGGAAATCTGTGCCCAGACCAGAGAAGCCCAAAGGGAGTGAAGACACTTAGGGGACCAGGTAGGAAGATCACAGGCCGAGCTCGCGGTGGTAATGACAGTTCCGAGGGGGACTGTGACGTAACTACATTCCACTCCTCCCTACCGACGCCCGAGTCGCTACTCCACCGTGGGGGAGGGGAGAGCAGGGCTGGGACCGAGGTCCTTGACGACCAGGGAGCCCAGGGAGGTCCAATTTGGGGCGGCAGGAAGCCGGGGCCGCGCCTGGAGCGGGGAGCCCTGGAGTCACCGGCCAAAGTCACCCAGGGGCGACTGGCGAGGGCGGGGGTTGAGCTGTTGAGGGGGCGGGGCTGGCTGAGAAGACTTTAGTGGGGGGAGCTGAGGGGCGCCCAGGGGCTCGCCCCGGGTGCCTCAGGAATGGCACAGACTCTGGCCACGGTCCGGCCGTCGGAAGGACTCGGTCTGTCTGGCTCGAGGGGCCGCGACCCGGCGCGTTTTACCTTTTTCTTGGCCGCGGCCAATTTGCTCTGTCTGGTCTCTTCCGACATACCGGGGCGGGGAGGGGGAAGTAAGGGGGGGCCACATCACCAAGATCCCAGCATCCAACGCGAAATTACTTCCGGCAGCTAAAGCGGCTCGAAGCGAAACAACCAGGGGAGGCGTATCCAGGGCGGTTCTAGGCGTCCGTGGCGGGCGTGGTCTAAATTCTCCAATCTGATTGGTTAACAAGAAAGATGACGGGAAGAGGGGCGTGGCCAGGCCACCGCGAGCCGCGGTGGGCGGGTGGAGTCACAAAGAAAGCTGCGTGCGCGCGCAGCTCTTCGTGCGACGGTTTCTGGCTGCGGCCGCCGAATTCTTTTCATCCCGAGCACCTGAGGCGTCACTCTCCAGTCCTCGCCCTGGATCCTCCTGCACCACAGAACCTCCCGGCCCGGGGGCCTCGGACCCCGGGGCTCAGGAGGTGGGTGAGGAACTGGCATTAGTCCCTTTCCTGATTCCTTGCAGCTCCTCCCCGGACTTTCAGAAATCCCCTTCAGCACCCCCCACCCAGCCCTCCTGGCACTCTTTCCCACAACCCCTCCTTCCTCGAGGGTCCCGGCCGTGATTCCGGGAGTGTAGCTCCCGGCAGCACCGGTCCGGTCACCCCTACTTCCCAACTGCTGCTCCTCCTGCACCCACGGTTCCCCGTTCCTTTCCAAGCGGCTCGCAGTCCCACCAAGCTTTTTCCCTCGGCCTTCTCTCTAGGACTGAACCCGGACAGAACCGAAGTTCCCGCGGGGCCTTCCGATCCCCTGTGAGTATGTCGGTGCCCCACTCTCCTCTCCATCCCACTGCAGCCCACGCTGCTCAGCCCTCCTCAAAGACTTCTCCCAGCGGGATCTTTTCTGCTGAAAAATCCCAGGTCACTTCGCAGTCCCTTCCCTTCCTCCTGCCCTCCAGTCTTCAAAGGGCTGTGCTGGCCTCCCCCTCCTGCCTCAGCTGCTTTTTCCCCTCCCTTACTCCAGTCCTTCTGCTAAGGTGTTTCTCTTCACCCAGCCCCGCTTTTAATCCCCCCGCCCCAAGCTCTTGATGTTCGTGCGGTCCACTCTTTTAGCTTCTAGTCTCTTTTTCAAAAACTCATCCTCCTTCTTTACTCTGATTACCCATGATGGGGTTTCCATCACCCCTCTCAATTAGATCATGAAAGACTTGGTATTTGTTCATTGATGAAGCTCCTGCCCTTAACTGGGCACCTGGGATGCTCTGCCAACCAATTTTTTCCCTCCAGGAGCCACAGGATGAGGAGGAAACAGACTAAAAAATTCTGGGATAGTATGAGCCTGGTTTGAAGAGGGAAGCCCAGACTTTAGTTGTGCAAGGAAGCCTCCCCAGAAATGGTGAGGCTGAAGGTGAGGCCTAATGGATAAGTGGCAGTAAGCCCAAATGACAGGGTGGGAAACCACAATCTGTGAAAGGCATCAGGTTGTATGATATTTTCTCCCAGGGAAACAGTGTGGACTGCCTTTGACCTCCCGGAACCCTCGTTGGATTCCAAATCATGCCTTGCCTGTTCTCTTAATTCATTCCTTCCCTTTTTATTTATTTTTTTAAACATTTATTTTTTTAAAAAAGTAAAAAAGGGCTGGGGATGTGGCTCAAGTGGTAGCGCGCTCGCCTGGCATGCGCGTGGCCCGGGTTCGATCCTCAGCACCACATACAAACAAAGATGTTGTGTCCACCGAAAAACTAAAAAATAAATAAATAAATATTAAAATTCTCTCTCTTCTCTCTCTCTCTCTTTAAAAAAAAAAAAAGTAAAAAAGTTGGACACAACCCTTTATTTTAATGTATGCTAAGGATCAAAACCAGGGCCTCAGGCGTGTGAGCACCGGGACCCCTGAGCCACAATCTCAGCCCATCATTCTTTCCCTTTTTAAAAACAAGCCTTCGCTGGGTGCTATGGCCCATGCCTTATAGTGCTAGTGGCTTGGGAGGCTGAGGCAAGACCGAAAGTTCAAGGCCAGCTCAGCAATTTAGCAATAAAATATAAAAAGGCCTGGGAGGGCTGGGATTATGACTTAGCTATAGAGCGCTCACCTAGCGTGTGTGAGGCCCTGGGTTCAATCCTCAGCATCATATAAAAATGAATAAATGAAATAAAGGTATTATGTTCAACTGCAACTAAAAAATATTTAAAAAGGGAGGGGGCTGGGGTTGTGGCTCAGTGGTTAGGAGCCCCTGGTTTCAATCCCTGTTATATTAGTTAATTAATTAATTAATTAAAAAAAGGATTCATGGGGCTGGAGATGTAGCTCAGTGTAGTGCACTTGTCTCAAGTATGCACAAGTCCCTCGATTCCATCCCCAACACCACAAAACAAAATAAGACTTTAATTTAAAAAAAAAAAAAGTTTAGGCATGGGGGTCTCAGGCTGGCATCCAGCTTGGGTTAAACAACCTCCTCCTGCCTCAATCTCCCATGCACTGGGTCTTCAGGCTTGCATTACCATGCAGGGATAAGAAGGCTTTATTGAGCACTTTATCCCAATTAGCTTACTCTAATATATCTCCTAAGTCCTTCCAGTAACTTTTGAGGCAGATACTTTATCATCCCCATTTTTTTTCTTTTTTTTTTTAAAGAGAGAATTTTAATTTTTTTTTTTTTTTTTTTTTTTTTAATTTTAAGCAGACACAACATCCTTGTTTGTATGTGGTGCTGAGGATCGAACCCGGGCCACATGCATGCCAGTCGAGCGTGCTACCGCTTGAGCCACATCCCCAGCCCCAGTCATCCCCATTTTTGACCTGAGGTCTCTGAGTGCCAGAGACAAAGTCTCACAGGCAGAGCTGATGAGTTTGAACTGCAGCAGTCTCCTCCCACAGCCTGAGCAAACCCTCAGCTTTGTCTCCTGCCTCTGTTTTTCTTTGCCTTCTTAACCTGCCCCTCTGCCTCCTGCTGCTCCTTTCATAATATGGAGCGTATCAAGGATTGAACCCAGAGGTGCTCTACCACTGAAGCTACATCTCCAGCCCCTGTAATTGTTATTTTGAGACAGGATCTTGCTAAGTTGCCAAGAAACTTGCAGTCTCCTACCTCAACCCCCATTATAGGTATGTGCCACTGTGCCTGGCTCTGAGTAGTTTCTCTCTTCTTTCTCTGCTGTTCTTTTTCTGCACACTCCCTCAGAAGTCTCTGTCCTGTGCCTCCAACTTGCCCCAGTGCGCATGACTCTCTAACCCTGACTTTCTGTGGACACTTAGAGCTGCCTACAGAGTATCTGTGCGTTCCTATTTATCCAGTCTGAAACTGCTGTCCTGTTAGACACTCCCTTAGGACACTTTTTATGATTAACATATCATTCACTCATTCATTTGACAAATGTTTATTGAATATCTGTTATATGCCAGATACATCTGTAGACTCAGTGCTGTCAGGGAACAAAACAAAGTCACTGTCCCCATGGAGTTTATCATAATAACAGGTGTATGAAAATACTTATGAAATGTACTTTAGGTGTTGAAATGCAATACAAGATCAGGACAGGGTGATGTAGGTGAATGAGGCAAGTGGTCAGGGAAGGCCTTTCTGGTGAAGTGACATGTGAGTAGAGCTTTAAATTAGATCCTGTCTGGAGGATTGACCTAATTGTTGAGTGTTTTCTCTTTGGGCCTAGGATATAAGTTCCTTGAAGACAGGGGCCAGGCTGGATATCCACTATTGTTGAGTGACCAGTTATGAGCCACTGAACCACCAGGAGCAGGAACAAAATCTTTTATTGCCTCTTGTATCCCATGTAGACCGTTCATCCAACATAACACTTCCTAAAGATTAGCCACATACTAGGCACTAGCTGTTGTGGCTTTAGAGACAGAAAGGACAAAGATGAACTGTAGCCCCATGGAGGGTTATGCTATCTGGTGACATTTGCAGACTTAAGAGAACCTAAGAAAGAGACCTGGAGTGCATTCTCTGGAGACATGTTGGGGGCCAGGGTGGGCCATTTAGCTAGGATTAGGTTTGGCCAGCAGTGAAAGAAAACTCTTAACAATGGCTTTAAGAGTCACTAGAGACCTAAACCTCCATCTGTCCTACCACATCCTCAACATGGCTTCTGCCTCATTATGCACGATTTCTGTTCAGCTCCAGCTTTACATCCACATTTCAGGCAGCAAGAAAAGGGAAGGCCAGAGAAAGGTGCCCTCTCCCTGGAAGGACTTTCCCCAGATTTTATATATATATATATATATATATATATATATATATATCTCACTTCTGATGAAGTTCTATTTGGCAGAACTTAGTCATAGGGTCACTCTAATTCCAAAGGAAACTAGGAAATGTTTTATTTGGGGGCTTAGGAGTCTATTACTAAGCAAAAGTGGGGGGTGGCTATTGGGGGACATCACATAGGCTCTGAATGGTCAGTCCCACTGATGACTTTTTATGCCACTCAGAGGCCATCTTCCAAGTCTGGCCCAGCTGCAGGAACCGGTGAGGAGTCCTTGCACCATGAAATTCAGAAACTAAAAGAGAAAAAGAGGATGTTGGAAAGGGAGATCTCCCAATTAATTTCTGGGTAAGTCTTTTGGGGCTCCCTAGCATGGTTTAGATAACTTTTGGGGGGACACAGCTAAGTGCCTGGTGTACACAAGGCCCTGGGTTTGAACCCAGTACCATAAAAAACAGCAACAATAGAAACTTCAACTATTGCTCTGTAACTGATATGGTCACACTGGCTTGGCATAAAAAAAGAATGGCAGGGCTGGAGCTCAGTGGTAGAGAACCTATGTAGCATATTTGAGGCACTGTGTTCAATTTTCAGCATCACATATAAATGAAAAAAATAAAGGCCCACCAACATCTAAACAAAATATTAAAAAAAGAAAAAGCCGGGCGTGGTGGCGCACGCCTGTAATCTCAGCAGCTCGGGAGGCTGAGGCAGGAGGATCTTGAGTTCAAAGCCAGTCTCAGCAAAAAGCAAGGGGCTAAGCAACTCAGTGAGACCCTGTTTCTAAATAAAATACAAAGTAGGGCTGGGATGTGGCTCAGTGGCCAAGTGCCCCTGAGTCAATCCCAGTACCAGAGAAAGAAAAAGAATGGCACCATTGGATTCACCAGAGGCCTCAGCAACCTCTCTGGTGGAGTGTTGGTTGGGCTGGAAAAAACTTGGAAATG